AGAGCCTTTGACATTTAAGTTACTGTTTGTATTTAAAAAAACGGCGGTAGTGTGATGGGAAAGTGTGGACTAGTGAAAAAGTGATTGTGAGTTCAAACTTCAAGCCTACCGACAGGAAACCACTTTTAACACAAACATTTAGCTTGGCTAGTGAGATTAACAAAAATATTAGTACTTAATGTGCAAATATGGGTACTTTCTATTTTAAATGAGACCTAGAACAAACACTGGATTATTAGTTTATGTCATCTGTCTATCTGTCAGTCAAGATCTTATTCCAGGTTTTGTAATTAAACGTATGTCCGTGTGGTTACGGATTAAGAATACGGAATGTCAGCACCCCTATTCATGCCGTGGGTGTCGTAAGAGCCGACTAAGGGAGAAAACTACGCAGGACAACAGCACTGCAGCGAGAAGGAAAACTTGACACAAACCCTATACCAACCCGTCTGACCAATGGGTATAGTAGGCCAAAACCTAATTTCTAAGGAGAGGGGCTATGCCCAGCTGTGGACAATTAAAGGCTGTTGATGATGATTGATGATGATGATGGGTGAAGACAACTTTAACAAATAATAAGCACTTTTACTTATAGGTACTTGATCAGTCAACCAAGATCATATTCACACACCGTGTTTTTAGATAATACAGTATCCTAAGTACATTCCAACAAGCACTCAAGAAATCCACAGCAGTGATTCCAGCACTGAATCAAAATCAAAGTAATATTAAGAATATTGTAGTGTAAGCAAGTAATATAAAATACAAGTTATAAAAAACATGATTTGTTGTTGTGTGTAAATGCGTTGAATTACGCTTATGAATTATGTTTCTAGCAATTACGAGGTAATTTGCTTCTTAATTAATTAAACAGATTATTATAAGTGTGTTGCAGCCTCAGATGTATCATTCATAGAATGTTTTGAATGTGATGAATTACAATCCCATGAATATTTTTTAAATTACAAACCGACGACGGTTTATAATTAAAATATGTTCCAGTTAGTCTATGAGTATTGTGTGATTAATGTAGTTCAAAAGTATTTTTAACATTTTACAATAAGGACCCCTTATTGTAATGTGTATTGTGATGTCAAAAAAATTGCAAAAGAGTGGCCATGAGTTTGTTTGCCCTTTCTTCTCATAAGGCTCAACCCAGATCGGCACAGGCATACCATAGATTTTGTTTGGGTTTGATTTTTGTTAAATTTATTTGGTTACTATTTCACAAAACAGAGATTGTTGCTTTTGTGTATGTTGATCTATGACTTTAGAGTCTACATCGACGCCCCCCGCGAATAATCCGGCTATCGTAAAAGTGTAAATGTTCAGGAAAAATAAAAAAACATTTTTCCTTAATAACTCTATTAAACAACAAGTATCAGAGACTTTTTAGAGACAGGTGTCCAAAACAATTGAAAGTATTGAATTAAAGCCAGCATATGACAAGCCACTCCCTATTCAAAAAGCTTTGCAAAATGATCTCCTAAGCCTGTGTAACTCCCAAGCAATTCCCAACCATTTTCAACCGTTTTATAGGAATTTAAGCTTTTGTGATACTGAATCAGGTCACGATGAGGATTCTGATTAAGATTTTTAACTGTAATAGGACCTTATTATAATTTTCATGATTGTGTAATCATGTGTAATAGTCGTGTCTTCAGTGCAGTGTCTATTTTTTTATGATAATAATAACTATCGTGTTTTGTAAAACTAACCAAAGTTGTTTCATTTACTTCATTTACTAGAATGTCCTTTATTTCATAAAATATACTATAATAATCATCAAATAATACTTAAGTAAACTATTCGAATAAACAGTAATAGTCATAACAATAAAATGTTACATAAATAAGGTAGAAAACTATTTACCCGAATAATATCGTAAAGTAATTTTACTGTCAAATCATATTGATTTTTTTTTTTCGTAAAGATCTTAAACCATATTATTCGTTTAAAATACATTTTAATGAATTTTTATGGAATATACGCGTAGTTTTTCATATCTTCGTAAATTAAGATAGAAAAATTCTGAAAAAAATTTACATGGTGTATTTTAACTTCTAGATGCTGAAAAACGCATAACATGAAAACCCCCGTAATAGGTCATTACCGGATTATTCGCGGGGGACGTCGACATGGAAGACGATTTCAAACGATTTTGGAAATTTTATGAAATAAAGAAAGTTTGAGTTTACCATTCGGTTGTATTATTTTGTTTGTTACCTCAAAACTCCGTCATTTATAAACTGTTATGGAAAATTCTTTTTTATTGAGGAGGGTATACTTTTCGTTTGATCTAATTTAAGATATTGAAGTAAATTGTGGATTTTTATTGAAGAATAGGTACAGGTGATCATTGAAATCAGTGATATTTTTTAAAATGTTGTTACGATTTGACGTCACTTATTGGGCCAGATGCTTATTTCCCGCAATTAATACTACTTTTATACGAATGGTTGCATTTTAATAGGAAAAAAGGCGGTTAAGTAAATGTTCTTTCACTGAATACGTCGGCGACAATTTTGGTCTAGGAAATGAAATGCTTTATTAATTGCACTACTTGGGAAGTAAATGTCTACTAATAAAGATTAATAATCATATACACGTTATCCGTAGAGCACATAAAGGCAACATGGCACGAATTATTGCAGCAATCAATTTATTACGACAAGTCTTGACTGTACGGATGGCGTATTGGTTTAAGCGGTCGCCATGCCGCTTTATGTTGTGGGTCCGATCCCCTCATCCTTTGTGTCATCCACAAATTGTTGTTTTAAGTCTGGGTGTTCTTTGTGTCCGTTTCATGTATGTTTGTAAAGTCTCCCGCGACACAGGATTTATTCCTAATCCGGGCGTTGTCTAAAATGAAAAACAAAGTCCTTTACTAAAATAACAAATGAGTAGTTTATTGACCGTCGATTGACGTTAAGGACCGATTCTTTTTCGTAATGCGGTCTATTGCGGTCGATGGTTCTACACTCGGTGTCTATGGTAATGAGGAAAACTGCAGTATTTGTTTCTCTGCTACCTCTAAATAATTTTATCAATTAACTAATCTCTGTAAGTACCAGTTTTTGCTTGTTTTCATTTTATTTTTTCTATTCATTGTCCGAATGACTGCATTCCCGACGTTTAGTAAACTATGTAGTTAGTGTTATACTCGCGTGCTTTACAATTAGCAGCAATTGTAATAAATAATTCATGAAAGAAATGTTTCCAACTGCAATTAAGTCGGTTATTAATTTGAATAAAAAAACTACAATTATAATCTTTGTGACTTCAATCACTTTTAACTGCACGGATCGCGTAGTGGTTTAAACGGTCACCTAGCCGCTTCCTACTGAGTGTTGTAGGTTCGATCCCAACATAGGAAAACACTATGTGTAATCAACAAATTGTTGTTTTAAGTCTGAGTGTTCTTTGTGCACGTTTCATATATGTTTGTAAAGTCCCCCGCGAAACAGGATATATTCCTAGTGCAGGGGTTGTCATTAAAAAAAATATGAAAAAAATAGTATCCTAGATAGATTTTTTTGTACATTTTTGTCACTGAATATCCAAGCATACATAATCACATCTTCTCGAATTGATGACGAGTTTTTATGATTTCAAGAACGTATTTATTAGGTGAGCTCTAAGGAATAAAACATACGTTTTTTCGACTGAATTGCACAGGTATTGAGTATTTATTAAATATATTTAATGCGCAATAGCACGATAATTTTTTGTAAAGTTTACAAAAAGACAATTCAAAAAACCCTACTTGCAACCAAAGCCAAGCTTCGTATAATAAAATCTGGCACGTTATTCATTAAACGACATTCAAGTCAGACATATCTCAGTTGTAAGCTTATTTTTTGCTGTCCTACCATGTTTACAATGCGTGCGGCTTGCAGAAATCTAGGCGTCGTTGATTTATTAGTCGTGTCATGATCTCTGCCACTTACAGACCTAGTTTGTTGTGAATTCGTGATCACGCGTTTCTATTGTACTTATGTGATTAAAAACATAGTAATAATTTAGGAATCTCGATTCAAATCGATTCCTGCACATGCTATGGTACTAGAATAGATACTTTATTACTTTGGAGGTTCAAGAATATGATAAAGCCCTAAAAAAGACTTCCAAGTTCTCCTTTCTGACTGCATTACTTCCCTTGTACCTGTCCCAGTACATTTTTAGACTGAATAGGGGAATAGTGAGATACGTCTCATGTCGCCGAAAAGTCGTCAAACTAAAGCGTAAAGCCCTAACTTTGATGAGTATGTGCGGCTCCTTCAGTCGGCCGAATAGTAGGTACTAGATACTGCCTTTTTTAGTACCTAGCTCTAAATGTAGAATCCTGTTCAAATTGTCCAACACATGCATTGTAGGGACCTATGATGCATGTGTTGTACATTAATTGGATTGTAAATAGTTAAATGTCTAATGATTACGGCAATAGATTGACATCGGGCAAGGGCGTTTGCTTCCTTGCTGATTAAGTTTAAAAATTCCCACCTACGCTGGCGTGGAAAAAAGAAAGGTAATCTTTCTGTATAAACAAAAAGACTATCGCTTTCACAAATAATAAGTAAATACAATATTTCGTCATCGTCATTATACGTAAACGCAGGAATATTAACGCGAAAACAGATTCCTTTTCACCGGCCAGCTCAATATGCTTAAGTACCTAACTGTAAACGCTTCTTTGCGTTCGCCAGTGGCGTCGCGTTTAAAACAGTTCTCCATATACTCATTGGCATGACATACAATACTATCGGCAGCACACCACTAACTTCATTCGGCCGTTCGCCAACATTCCGTTAGTTGCCTCTTCACTTTTCAACAAACAAGTCGGTCAAAAGCAACACTGTAATATTAGCACTTAAAGCAACAATTATTTTTAATTTTTAAAAGTTGAACGTGTTCGAATATTAAATTGGCCGGGAAGATATAAAATGGCGTATAAATATTTTGTGGTTTTCGCAGTGTTTTTGTTGTTGTCTCCGTGTGAGATGGAAGCGGGAAAAATCAAGGATTATCCAACAGATAAACAGCTTATTTTGCAGAGGAAAGAAACTACTCCTGTGGATTTTACTAGACTTGTAGTGATGAGATTAGTGTATGGCTTGGCTAAGGTTTTAGGCTTTGAAGAGCCAATTAGTGATGTGTTAAACGGTGCGTTTGTGCCTCCCGGAGCTGATGACGACGATTTCGATGATGACGGTGATGATTTCTTTGATGACTATTAGTTTAATTTTTTTATTGTTATTTTGATACCAAATAATTTGCATTTATCGTAGTATTTCTTTTTAGTAAAATGTCTGATTATGTAGAGGTAAACTACTTTAGCGCGTAATATTTATTTCATTTATATACTTTTAAATTATAATAGATAGCTAGAATTAGCGATAGTATTGTACATAGATAAGAATAGATATTAGAATCCATGCTCCTATATTAATTTAAAAACTGAACTAACTAAGCTTATATTTTACTAGTTTTATTCGATTTACTCGTACATCATGTCAGGAAATTTATAAATAGTATCGCATAATTATCGGTGATGTTAACTGGTGTTTAATGGAAACAAAAAGCATATTTTTATTACATTTGATAAGTAAAAAAATGACCAGAAACCTGACTACAAATTGTTTCTACAGTAAAAATTATTTTTAATAATTACCTGTCTGAAATGTAATTAATATCTATGTTTTGAACTGAAAACAATTCCTGCTGGTTCGAAAGAAAAAGGAAGAAGAAGAAATAAATAACAATTACCTGAGTTCTAATAAAGTATCATCGAAGTAAATGCCCCTAGATTATGATGAATTGTAATAAAATATATTTCTTTGTTCGTTTATTTGCCACCTTTAGTGGCATTTTTTTCTTTCGATTTAAATGGGACCAAACGGGAAGTGGGTTGTGAGGAAGGGGTGTGAGGGGCGAATCACAATCTTTCGCCACAAGCCAACCTCACCTGCCCGCGGTTCATCCCGCTGAAATACGAACAAGGCTCCGGCGACCGACCGATGGCGGTATATCTCAAGAGAAATGAGATCGATTTCATCATGACGGATAGGAAGCACATATTCAGAGACGTCTCAGTTATCAATAACTTTAATGCCGATAGTGATCACCGGCTTGTCCGTGGCACTCTGAATATCAACTTTAAGGCTGAACGTGTCTGTTTGATAAAATCCAGGCTCCGACCAACTCTGCTCCAAGTCATGACAGGATCTGGAAACTGGAAAACCGATTCGCTGCCGTGGAAACCACAACCGACGTAAACCAGAACCTCGAAAATGTGGTCCGAAACCTCAGGGAAGAAGGTACGGGATTTTGTGAAAGGCAGCGTAAGGGCATGAAGTCGAAGCTTTCAGAAAGGACCCTAGAGCTAATGAAGAAACGACGTGAAAACCCACCTGTCACTTTGTCGGCAAAGCGGACTCTGAACCAAGAGATCAGTAAGCTCGTACGACACCACCTCCGGTGCTCTAATACTATTTTAATTGAAAGAGCAATCGAGAAGAATCGGGGGCCAAAAGTGTTCGTACAATCTCTTGAAAGAAGCCACCTGATGAAGTTGACCACAATAAGTGGAGAAGTCGTTACTTCGAAGTCGGCAGTCCTTTCGGAAGTGGAAAGCTTTTATGGCCGGTTATACGCTTCGCAATTAGCTCGACCTGATCCCGAAAATGAGGACTCCAGAGCCACAGTAACACGTCACACTGAAGACCTGCCACAAGTCAGCACTTACGAAATCGAGATGGCTCTTAAACAGCTGAAAAATGGAAAAGCCCCTGGAGAGGATGGCGTTACAACAGAGCTGCTAAAGGTCGGAGGTAAACCCGTACTGAGGGAGCTCCAAAAGCTTTTCAACGCTGTCCTGTTTGAAGGGAGAACTCCGGAGGTTTGGAGTGCGAGTGTGGTGGTCCTGTTCTTCAAAAAGGGTGAGAAGACCATGTTGAAGAACTATCGACCCATTCCCCTTCTAAGCCACGTCTACAAGCTGTTTTCAAGAGTCATCACGAACCGTCTTGCGCGAAGACTCGACAAATTCCACTGCAATAGACTAATGATGATGAAACGGGAAGTAGGTATAAGTACTTAATAATCCAAATTAAAAAAAAATGACGTGGTCCTGATTTAACAAACATAAAAAATACAATATAATCGAGAATTTCCCCCTTTATTTGAAGTCTTTATTAGAAGTTTAATTGTTCAACGTTTTCAATAAATTACATAATTTATATTTTTATATAACGAAACGGTTAGAACCCAATTTCTAGTTCGTGAATATTCTATTCTAGTCTGTGCGTGTAGTGACGGATTAGGAATACGGAATGTCACTACCCCAATTCATCCCGAGGGTGTCGTAAGAGCCGACAAAGGGCGCAAAACAACGCAGGACACCAGCACTGCAAAAAGAAGGAAAACTTGACACAAACCCTATACCAACCCGTCTGGCCAGCGTGGTATAGTAGGCCAAAGCCTCCTTTCTAAGGAGAGGCCTATGTCCAGCAGTGGACTATTAAAGACTGTTGATGATTGAATAACGTTTTTAAAATAATTTGTAATATAATTTCTCGAATTGATAAATTAATTTATTTCTTAATTTGCGAAATTATCCCAGGCTTGGAATTGTTTGTTGTCTCACACATGTGCTAATGCATTTATTAAAAATATCAATTATATTAGGTTGTATTCCTACACAATATTTATTCTAAAATCAACCATAGACTAATTTAAGTAGTTTCAAACAGTATATTTTAAATTGTTATTTAAGTATATTATAAATTTATCTTCGACCTGTGTATTTTTTATTTTAATTATTATCAATGTACCTGGTAGTAGATACCTATGTTTTGAAATTAATATTAAAGAAATGTAAATACTTTTTCACTTTTATATTATGTGGTTTTCATCTTACGCCATATTTTCCTCAATTTCACTTTAAGTCTGATTTACCTATTATTTAGTGCAAGCGATAAGGAATGCCTACATTGTGTGCTATATACTATCATTCAGTAATAGTCGTTATACCACATCAAATCCACATGGTAGCGATCCTAACTGCTGACCGGTCGTGGATCCGATATGTACCTAGAACAACAATTTGTGGATCACGCAGAGTTGTTCCATGCGGGGATCGAACACACAACTCAACGCAGTAGGAAATGGCGAGGTGACCGCTTAAACCACTAGGCCATCCGTGTCGTTGAAAGGAACATGGGGGTTCCTACACAGGACCCCTCCTGTGTGACCCCACCGGTGGGTGGCATCCGAGGGGAATTCCGCACAGATAAAAAAATGATATTAGTCATTTCGGAACTTATTGATTGAATAAAAAATTTTGGTTTATAATTGAGACACTTTTTTATTGTATAGGGGCAAAACAGCAGACGGGCACGTGATGGTAAGTGAATACCGCTGCTCATTGACACCTGTAGCTTGACGAGTCACAAGTGCGTTACCGCCCTGTTAGTCCCTCCCCCTGGTCCCCCTGGTGGGTTTCGCCTCCGATAGCCTCACTCACTCGGTGTAAGGCAACGAAAGAACTGCTTAACACCGATTTTCAGAGGCCTTGGTATTACTCCCGCTGAGCCTGGCCCATTTGTGCCGAAACATGACTCTCCTATGTCAAACTTGGTTTTGATGTAGGTACACCTTTCAAATCAAATACCTTCTAATATTCATAAAAAAAACAAATCATATTTCATATTTATACATAATAATTTATTATTAATATTTCGTCATAAGTCATCGTTGCAATCTAGGAACCATGAAGGATTATCAACTAATTTTAGATCTTGAAACTCATTACAAGATCCCTCTTCTTCTTCTTCTTCTTGTGGGCATTCTTCGCTATTTTGAGAACATCCCTTCATTTTCCTAATTAAATCTCCCCACTTAAGCTTTGTATTACAGAAAGGACAGTTGCCTTCTATTGGCACATATTCTCCAGGAGACAAAAATATGTCTGCCAAACATGTAACATGGGCTAAAAGTTCACAATTTGCGTTTAAACATGTTAATTTAGATTGACCACTTAAAATATAATTAGAACATAATAGGCATTCTTCAGTTACAATAGTGTTGGAAATAACTATCCGTTTTAGATTTTTACTCTTGACTGTACCTTGGCATAATACCATGTGAGCTGGAGGTTTTCTTTCAGGCTGAAAATTAAAATCAAATATAAAATACTTAATATAATGTATAAAGTAAATTTTGTCAATCAATGTTTTATTCTAGAATCTATCTGAGTGCCAAATTACACCCAGAAGGCCAATACCTTTTATGACAGTTGTGACATCTAAAGTTGATCAGACCTGCATTGAGACCATACTTTTATTATGAGAATTTGCCTTCTGATCTATTAAGCTGTTCGAGCATGATTTCACAAATTTTTGTATTCATAATATTGATGAGGTTTACTGGTTTACCTAACTTACAAAAAATTTGTAGGATCACTATTACACATCCTTAACAGAAGACATGGTAAACAATTGCAGAGTATTCTGTTTGTTCATAAGGAATGATAAATATATTGGAGATAAATCATAGTCCTTGAATTAATGTGTTTTTATCAGTTATACTTTTTAAGTAAGCCTGTAGATACTTGATCTAGATCACATTGATAATAATGCGACATATTCAAATTTTAAAATGTAGCATATAAGTAATTTAATTTTAGATGTTCACAAAATGTGGCCACTGGTTCAAATATTCTTGACCATTCCAATTCAAGTACAAGTTGACTTGAAATGTAGTACATACATTTTAAGAATTAGTCTTCTGTTGGAGCAGTATGCAAAAAACTACAATTATAATGCTGAAAAAAATTGTATTAATATCCGGACACCCACCGGAAATTCTTCTTTATAGTCATCCTCAAGCCATCTTATTATCAATGGTAGCCTACACCAGGGTCCCACACGGAGCATTTCACTAAGGACCCTGAGCTTGAATTTAAATTCAGTCTCCTTTCTTGGAATCTTTTTAAGATTCAAGTGCTTTAGCCTAACTGTTGTATTTGGGTTCTGCCAGGCCCATTCAAACTAGAAAAAAAAGAAAAATTGAATTTGTTACTATTCTTTGCATATATTTCTTTAAAACATATTTAATTGAGAAACTGCTGAAACCATTTTTTGTGTGGGCCTAATAGTAATTTACACCATCATCAACAGCTCTTAATAGTCTAATGCTTTATATAGGCCTCTCCTTAAGAAGGAGGTTTAGGCCTACTATACCATGCTGGCCAGACGGCTTAGTATAGTTTGTTTCAAGTTTTCCTTCTCTTTGCAATGCTGTTGTCCTGCAATGGTATATGCATATGTGCCAAAAAATAATCAGGTCTCTCTTTATTGTCAAATGTTTAGAAGAAAGTTCTAATTCATATATAAGACAAATGAATACTTACTCTTAGCGCAGATATATTATTAGGGAACCCATGTATTATCATCGCCATTTTCCTAAACGAAAGAAGTTATTTTATTAATTTAATAATTATTAAATAACCTTAGTTACGCCATTCAAACAGTACTTACCAAGGGCCTTTATTGTTAGTTCGGTGGGCTCCACCGGCCCAAGTGCCTCTGTTGTGCTGCATAATTCTTCTGTTTGGATCTCGTGTGTAACCAATATAGGTGCGACCTTTATACTTAGGGTTGATACAATAGAGTAGGTACACACCGTAGAAGTCTTCCACCACTTCGGGTTCATCCATGATTTATTTAGTTTTGTAACGAAATAAAGAACTAAACAGTACTAGACATTTTATTACAAACTGCCCAAAACTTCAACTTCAACTTTTGGTTAATGCTTCACAAGTTTGTTTGTTTTGAACTTTTGAGTTTGACAGTCTTTGACATAGGATTAAGTTCCTGTTTCGTTTTGAAATTGTAAGTTTTGCATGCATCATATTTACTATCATTATTATTTGTCTGTATACTTTAGTTGGTCAAAGCTGGCGGGTGGTGTAGATATGATCTCTTACTAACGAACGTACCAGCACAGTAATTTACAGTAATTTACATTTATGTATTGTTATTATTATATATTTTTTTATGTATTACTATAATTATAAATTACTTCATGTTGTCTGATGACGGATTTTTTCATTCTGCAAATCTTTCTAGTAACAACAGTTTTAGCTCTGTTAATGGACGTTCAACCATCATTCTAGGTGCCGTTTTTACGTTTGCCATATTAATGCTCAAAGTGTTCCGAGCTATTACAGTGACTTACTTGAAACTCTCTCCTACACTGAGATGCATGCTATTCTGATTTCTCAGTCCTGGTTCAAACCTCACTTACTGTCTACATCGTACTCCATCCCTGATTTCATTCTTATACGTAATGACAGAATCGACATGAGAGGAGGTGTTTATCTTCGCAGTTCATTCTCTTACAAAATTTTAACATATTCCTCTTCCTCTGGTACAGCATCAGCAGAATATCTTTTCCTAGAAGTTAGCATCAGGGGAGCCAAAACAGTTCTGGGGGTTGTTTATTGTCCCCCTACCGGCGACTACTTCTCCAGTCTGATTCGATTTAATTTAATGAAATTGATCACTTGTTTTACAAGCATTTTTTTGGCGTATCCTTTTATGTATGTATTTCTTATTTAAGTCTTGATATTGTTATTGAGTTTAGTGCACCTAATCACTCATCTCTACACCACCCCAAGGTAGACTAGCAGAGAATGCCTAAGGCATTAAGTCCACCTTTGTACATTTCTTTTTGTGCATAAAGTATTAAATAAATAAAATAAAAAATAAATTAATTAAAACAAAAAGGAGTTAAAAACTATCTCACACGTCCAGTAATAGATAAAACATTATAAACCCGTCCAGATAGAAGCAATAGAGCTGGCAATACTGTACTGATATGATTGTCAGAAATTCACAATATTGTCGTTGTCTTTGTCTTTTGCATTCCTATATTTCCTACATAATAAACACAAGTCATAAATTCAGTATTCACTGGTCAAGCTCTGTATAATTACATTATAGTGTAATAGAATCAACCGTAGTTTATTTCATTGATAATATAATGTCCGAAGATAAACCTTCCAAAATCAATCAAAATGTCTGTGGCATGTAAGTACACATTTTACAATTATTTATTATCGGTAAGTAGTACCTCGCTTATCATAAAAATCTGAAATTAATTCCTAATTACAGTTGCAATGAAAACCAGAGCAAATACTGTTGTCCCCGCTGTGAAATATTCTATTGTTGCCTCGACTGTTACAAGTCAGAAAAACATTCACAATGTTCAGAAAGCTTCTACCGAGAATGTGTTAAGAATGAGCTTACTGCAAACAACGCTGACGAGGAATCAAGAAATAAAATGATTGACATACTAAAACATATGCAGGACGAAGACAATATAGATATTGAGGACCTTGTAGAATATGATGATTCTCTCGACTCAGACGACGGAAATGATGTAGAACTTGAGGAGCGCCTAAAAGGGTTAAACCTTGATGATGCTGATGCAGTATGGAGTGCATTAACAGAGGATGAGCGTAATGAGTTTGAAGCTTTATTAAATCAAGGAGATGTGGGATCCATATTGCCACAATGGCAGCCATGGTGGATGTATTATCGAGAAAGGAAAATTGTAGAAGAGGTTGATAGAGAGGATAAGGACATAGATGTTTTAAAGAAGTGTCCTGACTTGAAATCAGTACCTAAGTTTGAATCTTTGGTTGTAAGTACTTCTTATATCATATATGTTTACATCCTTAAAGACATGTTTGCAGCACATCTAATATAATAGTGCAGGGGGCTATATGCCTTTTAACTCTGAAATATTGATATCAATTTAGTATTTCTATTAAGTTCCAGATAATTCGGGATTAAACAGATGTGACATGCATGAAATTATTAATTTGGTTATTAAGTGTTCTTGTAACCTATTTGCAGAATAAACGATTTCATTTTACTAAAATTAGTTAAGAATGTCAGGAGAGATCCTTGAACTCTTTAAATTTTACATAGAATCAGTTACAACAGTTTAGTTTTTTTACATAGAATAAGTATACTTATGTATTTAATGGATAATTTTATCTCTTTTTTTTTTCATTTACATCAATATCTATAAATGTAATGTAATTTCCAATATTGTTGAACATTTTCACTCCTGAGCTTAGTTGAATAGTCAATTATACTTAGAGAAAAAATAAAACAACTGGCCAATCATAGTGCATGTCCAAATTGATTTGAGTTTTGTGGTATAAGCTATGTATATCTAAACATTGCCAGTCCAATCTGTGTCGAATGATTGAGTTTAGTTTCAAATAACCCTGTGTAATCATACATGTCATTTTACTAAAAATATCACCAGTCAAATTAAAGTAACCCTCAAACATTAAACAGTAAAGCTAAATAATGTTTCTATATTATGTTTCAGACAGTTCCACCGTCCCCAGCCATAAAGAACAACATAACCAATGTTTTAGCATCATATGCATTTATCATGAGATATTTTAATGGTGAAATTGAGCCAGTAGAAGGGGCTCTATGTTTACTTAACATTTGTGCAAATCTGGATTCAAATACAAATTTTGAAGATCCTGCCATTGCTGTGGAATCTGTTGCACAGAAGTGCTTGCAGGTACTGACTTAAGTGTATTAAGTTACTTGCTTACTTATGCTTTTTTTAACACAATTCTGAAGCCAAGTAAAATTAGCACAAAATTCTGGTATGGAAGTCCATAGGAGTGGTTTAGTTTTAATTGTCAGTAAATAATGAATTTAAAGTCATTCATTACATATTAAATGTTTCATCTATACCAGAATAGTGTTTTTAAGTGAGGTTATGGAAATACTACTTTTATAAGTAGAAGAACTTGTAAGAGGTCTTCTATTCCGAGATGCTGTAGTACAAAGACTGTAGAGAGTAAATTCTTCAATTTTTTTTTCTCAAAAGGTTTTTCCTCTGCCGAAAACTTTATTCTTGTTTTAAACAGCTTCCAATTTTCTGTAACATCACATTATTATTATTTCAGAGTGTATTAGTAGAAACAGATGAAGTCAGTCTAAATGTAATGAAACAAGACACTTTTCTCCTTATAAGAGGACCCAGTGAAGAAAACAGCAAATATTATTGTAAAGCAGCTCTGTCACATTTGGATCACATACTTTCAAAAGCTAAGCAGGAACAGAAGACAAAAACTCTTGATAGTAGCAACGCAAAAGACAAGACTGCTTTTTCTAGAAAATTCCCAGATCATGACAAGGGACATTTGCCCTCTTTAGACATCAGTAAAGTAAAGAAATGTATAAAGAAAGTAGAATACTATTTATCTTATATTGAAAGTTTTGATATGGATTTTGAATCAAATAAATAATTATTGTAAAAATGTTATTTACTTACACTTCTTTCTTCTTCTTTTAAAAAGACAACTCCCGCATTAGGAAAATATCCTGTGTCGCGGGGGACTTTACAAACATACATGAAACGGACACAAATAACACCCAGACTTGGAACAACAATTTGTGGATCACACAAAGTGTCGTCCCATGTGGGGTTTGAACCCACAACACTCGACGTAGTAGGAAGCGGCGTGGCGACCGCTTAAACCACTACGCCATCCGTGCAGTCAAGTCACACTACGGCGTCATGTTTGATGTTGGTTTATTACATTTGTTTTTTTTTCAAATTCCTATTTAATATCTCAACAGGATGTCGTAAATAGATAAGTACAAAATCTGAACAAGTCGTAATAAACAATGATGGTCTAATGGTCTGCCATCAATATAAATAAATCTTATACTAGAAAGTTCTGTTACCCTTGAAAGTTTAGTTTTAAACCTGCAGTAAGGAGTAAACACATTGGTTATATATTCCCTTTAAGACTATATAAAACTTATTTTATTTTCAGAAAACTTACAGCTAGTAGATGTGAATGGGGACAGCTAAAATACTAACATTAAGATGGCCATTGCAAGTGGCTTGGTAAAGGCTTTGCTTGCCTCTTAAGGTAGTCTACATAGATTTTTTTATATTATTTTATCTATATTCTCATAGTAGATAATCTGATATTCTTATAAGGCCCTATGCTTTCAATCAAACATAAATTTAGACTGTGACTCCTGGGTGTTTTATAACATTAACCCTGGTTAGCAAGATATAAGTGGTTGTAAACAAATATAAAGGATAAGGTTTACGTATGAAGAAGCATACGTAAAATTTGGACATATTGAAATCTACGTATAGGTCGTCTAGACTATAGGTACATACCTATAGCCTATAGTCTATAACAGTTAATATAACGGAAATCACATTGTGCCAGATGCTTAGTGCTAGCTTTCAACAATAAACCACCGTCCCGCAACACCTGCTTCCTGCCCTAAGATTATTTGAGTTTGAAGTCTAGTTAGTGGTCAAGATCGACTAATAAACTTCTTAGACTATGTTTTTTTTTAATCATCGCTATCGACGTTGAAGTACTTGGTAGAGCTAGAGAACGTTGCTGCTACGAACGAGCTGTATTGCTGCTGACAAAAAGAAATGGCGTTTTTTGCTCATGTTTTCATTAGACCAATGTGACCAACGAGACATTAAAAGAAGAGAGGACGAATGAAGTGGAGGAAATAAAACGCATCAGACACCTTAACCAGATATATTCGTTTTAATAACATGAATAATCCAGAGGAATGTCAGAAAGGTACCATCAACAATAAAATATATACCTACATAATATGATATTATGTTAAACACAACACCTAACACCACTTTTACAAAGATGTCGGGTACGGATCGCTAGATAAATATGAAAAAAATTACTTCTAAGTGACAAGACTTTTTTCTAGATTTTTGACTTCTGAATATTTTTCAAAACTAAAAAATACTTGCTTAAATTATTTCATTAAATTTTATGATTCGCAGTAACTGTAGTGTCTAAGGCGCGATAATAAAGGAAGTACAGTGATCCACCAAACTTCGTTCATGGTAAGTAGCTTTGATTAGCAGACGTATTGAAATTATAAAATCTGTATATAATCAATGGCAAAAAATGTTTGATTAATTTACATCTTTGAATTGATTTCCAACAGAAGGTCATTTCTCGTAAACTTCAGTTCCAATCTATTCTCGATCTCACAAATATCATAAAAATTATTCTCTTAGTAAGTATTATTAAGACTAGCAGAATACCGATTCAACTTTCATTCACTATAGGATATAATCACATTACAGTCAATTTTGATGTTTATACTTTACTATGAGAATACCTTTTTATGGCATTGGTGAAAGTAGATCGGAACTGAATTTTGAACAAATTATTATTACGAGACCTTCAAATATTTATTCAAGTGTTTATATACTAACATACGCAAAAATTGTTAGAATATTTTTACAGCACTACATTTGCAAATACAACATGATGGGTATGTTTATTATATTAGAGATCCGTACCCAATTTACATCGAACTAAACTAAAAATTGGTCTAAAAATCTTCTAAGTACTCCGCGTACAATAAATAGTTTTTTTTACTTACATTAATAGGTTAATATTCAAACAGCGTGTATCTAATAATATATATATATATATATATTATCTATGGTAACACAATATAGGTTAAGTTATAACCGCAGAGGGAGCCACTAGCCTTTTTATAAAGATATTATTTGAACAGGCTAGAAAACCATGACTTCCTATCTGTCTTTTAATTTCAAATAATTATTTTATCGATAAAGCAAAGGTATAAACAAGTTTGAACCACATTCTTTAAATACAAAAGAAGTTAAATTGTCCAACGCCACGTTTTCGTTCGGACTCTTTAGAAGAGAATAATGATATTTTTTTGCCTTAAAGTGAGACTTATACGACTGTCTTACAGTATAAGGTAAATATACCTTTGAGGTAATATCTCGAGGATATATATTCGAAAACCAAATAATTATTCTCTATAAGAAATCTAAAATAGCTTCAATAATACTAACACAATAATTAAATGGTGAGTATTGCGTCGGTTCAAATGTAACGGAATTTTATTGGGTTAGGACGTATATTCTTTGAAACTATGTAAAACTATACCTAAAGGAGTCAAAATATCCTTTCTTGTAGATAGATATAATCATTTAAGTATACCGTTACTTGTAGAGTAAATAAAACAATAGATATTGCTTGACGAAATCTGACAAATTGTTCTGGTTCTTTTCTGATAAATTCTTAAAAACAGCATAAATGTTTATAAATATTATTTGGGTATGTGTTAATAAATTATCTCCTGCTAGGCACGAATGCTGTTTCAGGATTCAAGCCACGAAATGGAAGGGAAAGGGATTTAGAACACTATAAAGAACAAATGAACAATAATACTCTCGGGTACAAAAGATAAAGTGATAAAATAACGAAACACTCACAACAAAAATTAATGTTTTTATAACTTATAAATAAACTATTTTCTTTTCTACAAACAACCGTAGACTCATCATTGAACCTTTATCATTATCACGCACCTTTAAAAATTATACGTAGTAAATAATGTAAGTTAATGTGGGTAGTTCAACACCAGAATATTTCTGTAAAGTATTTTGGGTTAAACTTTTTTTTTCATTAATATAGTCCAAGAATTTATGAATGTTACATAAAGTTCTACCTCTACCTTTTATTTCTTTGTCCTTAACCCATTAGTAACAATCCATTGCCCAGTTTTTCCAATCCATTTATAGTGGAAAAGAGTTATATGCTATGTATTTTACTACATATATTAAACTTTATATAGCTTTTCTGGATATTTCAATCAAAAACACTTTTAGCAAAAGAGGAGGACTGCAATCAATCGTCCAATTGAGATTGTAGTAGATTAAGGTGGCACATGTTTTAATCAGTTTTTACATATGGCCTCAAAACATGCTAATTATCAAATTATTCTTTCAGAATATGCTTTTAGCGGTCTAAAGTTCATTTCTATTGCCGCAAACCTGAAAAAGAAAATTCTGAGTAGCATCTCATGACATTTTCTACAACGGACCCCTAAATATATAATTAATAAGGTATTTGGTTCTGATAATACTGAATCATGTCGTAGGTCCTAGTTCTAAAGTTCAGGAAGGAATTTCTGATGATGGATAGCATATATGCCGCGGCTTCTTTCTCTGTGGAGTTTGGCGCGAACCGGGAACGGAGCTGGCGAATAGTTGCTCCACGGAAGCAGGGCAGACCAGTGTCCAACATTAAGGACACCATAGATATTATTGCTTCTTGGTACGGCCTGCAATAAGATAATGACGATACCAATCATATACCTACTAAAACTAAGGTCACTTATTAAAGATTTTACGCTCAAAAACATTAGAGATCAATCAGTGTACTTCTTATTAATATATGATGCACGTAAAAAGTAACGTTAACAACTTCAGCTGATTAAAATATAAACACAGTTAATGTAAATATTCAGAGGTGTTTATTAATCGTCTCCAAACAAAGTGGTTTATATTTTGAGTCCTGCCTTAGGCAGCAACAATTATTCTTTTTTTTTTCTTTTAAAAGCCATTACCGCACTAGGAAACATCCTGTGTCGCGGGGGACTTTACAAACATTCATGAAACGGACACAAAGAACACCCTGACTTAGGACAATAATTTGTGGATCACACAATGTGTTGTCCCATGTGGGGATCGAACTCACAATACTCAGCGAGGTAGAAAGCGGCGAGGTGACCTCTTAAACCATTACGCTATCCGTGCAATCGAAGACTAGGCGATTAATTCTATTATTCATTTACAAAATTTAATAAATATAATACTTTTAAGAGTCACCGCACGTTTTAATGATTACCAAAAACATATTGGGCCCAATAAAATAAAATCCATAATCACCTGACAGCTAAGAAAGCTTGGACACACAGCTCACAGAACCATCGGAACGGTGGTGCTTCCATCTTCCCACCCATTACCATCACCATCTCGTCTGTCAGCTTGATGTCAGGCTCGAAGCCTAAATTGCCACCAGGGGAGGACTCGAACATAAAACCGAAATCTGTGATTAAAACATTAACAATATGTTGTAATAAAACATTTATTTTAAATGTTTTATCACATTACATTATATAATAGTGAAAAAACATAAAAAACACTAACTAGGATTATTATCATTACCTATTAACATTAAAAATATTTGGTAGTTCATACATTTTCACACTGAATACTAAACCAGTTATCTTAAAATTTTGCATATACATTGTCAAAGTTATAGAAAAAGAATATTGTTTCATCCCAAAAAAAACGTTATTCCTGAACCAAAAATCATGGTAGAAGGGGTTTGGGCTCGAGTAACTCACTCGGTAAATATTAAACATGGGACAAAAATACTGAACTGTGAATAAACGGTGATTTATCATTCGATTTTTAGTAGAATATTATTATATTATTATTTTATTTTCAAACTACATTCCCTCGCAATTAATCCATTTTTGCATTCGCTAAAACCACTGTACAAAGCAGTTGGACCAGTCTTCCTTAGGGAACTCTTCAATGGCTTCATGGAACGCATTCACCGCCGATTAGCGAAATGTGAGGATGCGTTATTGTGGTGAATGAGGACATTGCTTTGAGGACTCTGGGCAAGCAAGTGTTGACGTACCAATCTGCAGTCACTGTCTTTTGATCTTCAAGCGATATTGTAGTATAATGTCCTGGTTTGCCGAAAAAGACTTTTCTTAACGCTTTGCCAACTGGCTTTTTCTTTCGGGTTCAAAGCAGTAGACCCAGTCACGTTATTATAGACAACCAATGACTGTCCTCCGTTAAACTTTTATCATTTTACGTCACAACTGGACACGCAGTCGTTTCGTTTCGTTATGTGGTATCCATCGAGTGCAAAGCTTCCGAACCTTCAGATGCACATGTAAAATGTTTTGCACTTGGCTCATTCCAATGCCTAACAAAAAATGAATTTGCCAGCAAGTAAATTTTTTGTCAGTTTCAAAAGATATGTCGTACTGTGTCAATATTGGAGTCTGTAACCGCATCTGACCTTCACGTACTTCGGCATAGAGATGATCACGTCCACGTCTCAATTCTCTAAACCACGAATATACAGAGCTGCGACATGGTGCTTCATTACCAAATGTCAATTGAAGTCTCTGGCAATTCTCTTGTTATTTAAGATAAGTTGCCAAGAGAGTTGCCAGAGACTTCCCACAACGAAAGTCATGAAATAAAATCATTTTACGAAAATGTTCACGAGTTAAATTCATTTTGGTAGCGACACACAATTTTTGAAAGAACGTTATAATGAAAAAAACAAACAACAGTCTCGCGAATTAAAAAGTAACATGGTCCTAAAGAGTTCAATTTTCGAATTCCATAATTGTTTTTCATTCTTTTATTGTAAGTGGCCAGATTCAGAGACTTTCAGTATGCCCCACGTATTTAACAGTAAATCTAGTAATTATTTTATTACTTATAGCTAACATTCCCTACATAATAATTAAAATAATACTAGATTTGCTGTTAAATGTACAAAATAGGGTCTTTATACATCGTCTAAAAACAGATCATTGGCAACAACGCGTGAGTAAGTAGCAACCCTAACCTACGCACGAAAAAATCGAACGATAAATCACAGTTCACTGTGATATTATGCCATGTCTAGTATTATCAAAAGAAATGCTTAACACCGATTTTCTGTGATGCCCTGGTATTACTCCGGTCGAGAGGGACCATTTGCTACATGGCACTTTTACAACAGCTTATTTGACAAATCTACATTGACGAGTGCGATCACAAATAAAATCACACTGGATTTTGGAATGAATGCAAAATTAACATACCGATATGAATTAGATGTCCATCTGTATCTAACATGATGTTGCCGTTGTGTCTGTCCTTGATCTGTAGCAAGAATCCGATGACGCTGTACGCTGCCATAGAGGTTACAAAGCATCTTCGAGCAGCCTGGAATAATATAAGAATTTATCAAATCGCTCGAACAGACGTAAAACTCTGTGTGTGAACTAACGACTATTCCAAGCAATATTAGCGGTAGCGTAACCTGTTATTTGTATGGAATATATATTTATAAAGAATAAAGAAGCAGTTTTATGTTTTGCAAGAATTATATCAATGATATAGGATCCTTACTAAGAGTGTAGGTTATAAAAGTTAGTTAACACAATTACGAGGTTTAGCATAGACAAAGAAGGGGGTACGCTCTTAGCCCAGAGTGGGCGATCAAAGTAGGCAAGGACAGGCGTAACTAGTTATTGCCCAAGGACGGATTTTGATTTGATTAAAAAATAACGCAGTTTACATGTAGTCTCTTAATCCGTTGCTAAGTATGGATGCCATAGCCCAGTGGCAGGAGGAAGCGAGATGAGAAGTGACCACACCACAATTGTGGTGTAAATGTTGTTACTGCTATAAAAAGTACACTAACATACCTGAAACTCTCTGCTAGTTTCGTCTCCGTACTTTTTAATGAAGTATTCGTACATTCCTATGTCAGTCTGTCTCCCAAGTTGATCGCGTGACTTTGCGTTCGGTACACATTCTATTACGCCACACTGTAAAATAGAAACACTTCACTGTATTACTACAATAAATAAATAATTTATGATTAAACGACTTAAGAAAGATAGAAAAAATGATTATTTTAGCAAAAACACAACACTTTTGTCAATTTTGCAGCTTGAGTTACCACCGATGCCAAAACAGCCTGACGCTGGTTTTCAATCAGACCCAAAATGTCGCTATACGTAAAACCAGTTGCAGACCTTAATTACTATTTACTACGCTAAGTACATACATCATAAGATTAATAACACGAATATAACAAGACCAATAACAGATAAGCAGATCATGCTAATATATACTACGATATACACAATAACATAAATTAATAAATTGTGCACACTCTTTTACTTTGAAAGCGCTTACCAGTATGCGCTATGCATCGCTTGACTACATGAAACGATCATGATTTCAGCGGCAATTTTTTTTGAAGATTCTAAGATAAACTACAATTTTATATATAGATTATGTATTATATGCACATATACTTATAATAACTAAAAAGTTAACTAAACGAATAAAACTGATCCCATACTGGGAGCAAAATCAACTTTCAAATTTGAAAGGCCTTTTCTTAAGGCTGGTTAAATTACATATTTGATAAATTTCAATTTTTTTTTTCAATTTAAATTTCATATTCAATTAAGATTACACACAGTAAAATTCATAAGGAACAATACATTTTTGCTGTCCCGACGTTTCGATCGAAATGCACCGATCGTGGTAACGGGTCGACAGTCCACTCGTGGTCACGATTGATGCATATTATTGCTAGTAAGTCCCGATATACGCACATAATACATAACTTAAACGCGTTACTTAGAAACAAGGTATGTACGATCACGCAACCATTTCATCAATAAAACTTTGGGAACATCTTCTATTTTCTATAACTTACTTATTCCATAACATATTTAAGCCTCGTCTTTCGTAACTTAGACACAATATTATACACATACGCACCAATAATAAAAATTAAAACAGAATAAGTCTAAATAACGTCGCCTAGAGGTTAACATTCCATCGTAGCTCAGTAATTAACTCACCCCCGGAGCAGTGGCAACCACTTTATAAGGAAACAAATACAAGTCGAGTCCAACTTGTTGGAAAATGTTCTTAAACAGTGATATGACTTGCAGCGCGAGCATATCTTGTCTGACGTCATCCCCCACTTTGAATATGGCGGCCTGCCACGTCTCAGCCGCGATGCCGGTGTACCGATCCTTGCCTTCTTCCTGTTGGTGTTCAAATATACGATGAAAAAAAATGGTCTTAAATAATAATAATAACTTCACACATTTCACACACGCTAGTGTAATCCCAAACTAAGCAGAGCCTAAACATAGCACGCCAGTCAGAACTAAATTATTATTTTTGTATTTAATATAGATCAGGTGGCATGGTAAAGGCAGTAAAACATGGCAGATAATTGTTGGGCCACCCTTTTGAAGAAATACATATCTTTACTCCAGGAGGTGGTCTCCTGGGGTAAAGTTATAATATAAGACTTGACAGCTTAAGACTGCAGCAGAAGGCATGAACACAACAAGTATCTTAAATTTAATATGTATGTATTTACATATTCTGTCCTCATACCCATTGTACAAGCTCTGCTTAGTTTGGGACTAGAAGGTTTTCAACTGTTGCCAACCATCTTTGGAAATGTAATTGTTTTAGTCGGAATTAAGGCAGAATGTACATTGGACTAAGGAAAATGGATAAGGCCAGGAAGCCATTGCAAGGGCTACTGAAAGTCTTGGATGGGTAAACGTCACTGATACTGCAGTAGACCGAAGAAGTTGAGGTCACGGACTGTTTGTCTTGCAACACCCACAACTATTTAAAGAAGTCCGTGAAGTCCGTGAAGTCTCTTTTTTGGTCGACGGGACGGGATAATAAAAATAGCATGTATAGGTGTGTCAAGATCAATAACAAACTACCCCAAAATCTAAGAGAATTGCCCTTTAAATTGTTTAGTGTAAACCTAAAGAAATGGCTAACTGTATGATAGTAACAATCAGCCCATTTTGGGCATACAATGACATAATAATGTACCTACAACGACTGTATTTACTCAATGATAACAATAAAGATTACTTTAATTTACACATTCTTACAACTGCACGGATTTTAGGGGTTTAATCGGTCACCTCGCCGCTTCCTACTGCGCTGAGTGTTATGGGTCCGATCCCCACATGGGACAACACTTTGTGTCATTCACAAATTGTTATTCCAGTCTGGGTGTTCTTTGTGTCCGTTTAATGTATTTTTGTAAAGTCCCCCGCGACACAGGATTTGTTCCTAGTGCGGGAGTTGTTCTTTAAAAAAAAAAACCCGTGCTGTAATATAAAAAAACACAAGAGCAGAAACATTAACTGTCAGCAGGAGGCAGCAACTACTAGGCTTTTTTTTCAGTTGGTGATTACGTGGTTATAATCACATATTTAAAGTGTGATTTAGAGTAGTTCAATGTATCTATGGAATCTAGAAATAATCTGGCCAACAATGTTAAAATTATAAGCGCCCTCTTTATGAATAAAGCTTAAAAATAAATGCTTACCGAAGGTATATCTTCCCCAGAAGCTATAGCCATGGCTATATTCTCCATCTCTGCTATACCATACTTCCGTACCCTGAACCTTGCCAAGTAAGGAGCTTTGGCAGCACTCTGCATGGGTGTACCTAAAAATATCAATGTCATATAATAATAAAAATTAATTAAAAAAATTAAAATTAAAAATAATAATAAAAAAACTTTATTAAACAAAAATTGCTCATTGAGGCTGTTCTAATAAGCCCATACAAAAAGTATATAGTCTGCGGGATAGCCAACTCTAAATTTCTGAGGAGTTGGCTATCCCGCAGACTACTTGATGCAGCAGCAAGTTCCAGGTTATCTTGTCGTGGAAATACCCTCAAAGTGTATAAGTATACCAAATTTCAGATCAATCGGATCTGTGGATTTCAGTGAGATCCCTTCATCACCAGAAAGTGAGCTGATGATGTTCAAAATTCATAGCTTAGGACCATCTCGATCACATCGGCTGCCGAACAAAAAAATCGCATCGAAATTGGTCCATCCGTTCGGGAGCTATGATGCCACAGACAGACAGACAGATACACAGATATGCTGATACACAGGTTAAACTTATAACATCCCTCGTTTTCCGCGGGGGGTTAAAAAGAATACTATACACCCAGTGTTTTTGTGGCTCAGGCGGAGTCACTACCACGGCATCACAGAAAACCCGTGTTAAGGAATTTTTTCGTTGCTTTTTACCGAGTGAGGTTGTGCTACTCGTTTACCCCTGTAGAAAAACTATCGAACCGACGACTGTCGACATTTTTTTTCGAAAGTCATCATGTAATCCCGTTTTCCATTGCAAGTATACATAACTATGTTCAAATGTCTTACATTATATTTGTATTCTATATGTGTTAATTCTAAATTCAAGAAAATTAAAAAAAGAGTGTGTGTGACAGCTCCGATGCACGACTGGAGTTTACTCCTAAAGAACGATTCCGCTGCACACAAGTATACTAGTTAAAAAAACGCACAAAAAACGTGACGAGGCCATTCGATTCACTAAATTTTACTCTTCATATTTTTTTCATATCGGGCGCCTTTTATGGAAATCCATGTTTAAGAAGTAAACTCAAAAAAAAACAGAACTGTATTTCGTAAAAAAAAAAACTACCATTGGCCTTTTTTCTTTTAAATGTATACTGTCAGTTTTCAGTAAAAGTGTAAATGTCACTAAGTCAGTAAGTGTACACGTCCTGCTTTCGGGTATAAAGGCTCATGCCTTTATACCCGAAAGGAAAAGAACACAACACTCATGAACACATCACTCAAGGAACACTCACGTGTAATGTAAATGTAAAATGCAATTGAAATAATTTGAGAAAATATGTCATTCTCAACAAGATGCAATATTTAATATTGTTGGTTATGGTTATAGATCGGCACAGGCATATCATAGATTTTGTATAAGTATAATTTTTATTAAGTTTATTTAGCTATTTGACAAAACAGAGATTGTTGCTATTGTATGTGCTGATCTATGACTTTAAAAGTACATAAAAGACGATTTCAAACAATTTTCTTTTTTTATGATATAAAGGCGGTTTGAGTTTATACTGGAAATAATCTACTTACCACTCTTGTAATCGATGTCTACAACCATCGAATCTGGATTCGACGGTAGGTAACATCCTGGCTGTACCTGTATTACATGGAAAGAAATTTATTTATTACAGATTTTATGATAAATAAAGGTGCTTTAAACATTTAACGAAATACCTACGTCGCTATTACGTCATAACTCTATAAATGAAATTATCGAGAAAAGCTTACTTCTTGCTTGGAACTACGAAATCAACTCAAAGCAAGTCATGTTTGTTTTAATGAAAAGATATTGATTTGACTTAACAGTCATTGACCATTGGTCCTAAAAGTCGAACAGCAAAGTATTTAATATAACGCAACCTTTAAAAAACCAAGAGCTTTACCTTAACATTTTTCAGCGCTTCCAAACACGCCCGCTTTCGCTCGGCGCCTTTCGGGAACGGTCGGATGATTCCGGATATGTTCGTGATTTGGCTAAAGAAGTCGAATTCCCTTTCGTAGAATGCCTTCGCTGGACCGGAGAGCCCGTCTACGATGCTTTTTGTCAGTCCCTCCAGTACGTCAAACAACGCTTCAAGCCAAAAGGTAACCATTTAAATATATACATCCAGTAGTCATTTATAAAAATAGGAAACGTTGGCTCTAATGAAAATGATCCTGACTTAAGGGGCAAGGGAATCTATCCAGCGGCTCGAAAGCTGCCACCGCCACCTTCAAACGTCCCTTTCTCCGAACTCATAATTCGTCTTAAAACCCCTCAATGTAATAATGTAAGCCTATATGTACAACAAGTTACACACACGCCGTTCCTTTTCACGAAATCACATCCATTTTTCTTTTTGTTTATTATTTTTTAATTTGCGAGAGTCTGGTGTCTGTAGTAGGTTTAAAACAACCTGTAATTACAGGTCATCAGGACCCTCTTGCAATAATGTATCTATTTAAGGCTATTTTTGTATGAATACAGCGTTTAGATTTTGACACACAATATAATAATAACATTTTCGGACTTCTGACACACAACGCCATCTAGTTTCAAACTAAGGAAATGGCGTTGTGTCAGATGTCAAAATAATAGATTTATAAAAAAAATCAATGAAAAGCTTTTAACTGTGGCCTCATCATCATCATCAACAGCCTTTACTGTGGCCTACTGACGTTTATTAAAGATTGATATTGTTAAAAGTAAGTATACCCACCGTCTTTGTTATGCATTTCTTCATCTGTGTACATATTTGTATGCATATTCCAAATGAGCTGATGGGCAACAACTTGCGACTTCTTTGCTAGAGACTTAATCAGTTCTGCTACGTAGCCCATCTAAAAAAACATTAAATATTTTATTAATTTTCAGTAAGTTCAGTCTCTCCTAAAACTAGTTCTGACTGCAATTACAAAATCCCTTTTTATAGACCCATATTGTAACAAAATATATTTTGAGGATTTTACTCGATGCGCTTTGCGAGTCGGTAAGTCGAAGTTCGTTTATCAAGGTAAGTGGAACAGTAGCATTTTATAACTCACTGTGTCGTGTCTAAGCGCTTGCACAAGTTGCGGTATGTACAATAAGAGAGCGGAGGAAGGGTATGACGTCAGCGTGCTGACCGCCGCCTGCGCAGAGAGCGGGTGCGGCGGGTACTGGCGACTGAAGTACGACAGCGCCTCCACAGGCGTCACACGCGCCCACGTGATCATGTGTACCAGCTGGGGAAAGAAGCATAAATGAAAGTACTGGATTTTAATATAGAATCTATTGTTATATTTTTAAATTTTGTGTTTGTTCCATAGTTACCGATTTACTAATTATGGTATTTACATACATTTACTGTATCATTTAAAGGAGTAGTAGAGGGATATTAAACATCTGCAATTTGCCAACTTTAGCTGCTACTCACTTCAGAATTAATAAGTTACCACCGTAACACCTACCTAAGGACCATCACCAATCAACCACGAACCCATTACTGAACACCACATCAAAATCTAACAAGTAGTTTTGGAGATAAATGGCAGCACTGGTTTGCACAAACAAATGTTTACTGCAGCGCCCCCTAGTGAGTTGAAACCATAACATCTATCTAAGAACCAGCACCAATCAACCACAAACCCATTACTGAAAACCGCATCAAAATCGGACTATTCGTTTTGGAGATAAATGCCAACATTGGTTTGCACAAACGAATAAACAAAAATCTCTCACTCTAAACGCATATACCTTCTCCGTTCCGTCGTGCGTAAAAATTAGAAATTTAAAGTGTATTTTGAATGGAAAAGATATGCAACATTTGAAAGCAATAGAATGGAAAAGATAATGCTTATACATTTGTTTTTGGTTTAAACACATTAAACTCTACTGTCAAAGAGAAGTAATCATTGAACGTAAAAAACTCACCTCATGGGCATCATTAAGGAGTGTTTCAGTGGTAACAAGGTATTTGAGTGCTTGTGGAACGTGAGATACAGCCGTGGGCATGGCTTGCACTTTCCGTCTAATTTCTTGTATAATACCTTCATTCTTCAATCTGAAAATTTTATATTTAATATAGTTATCGGATTATTAAAACAGTATATTATAAAATAGTTGATGTATACGATGAAACTCTGCACCCTGATAAATCCGGTTCGGAATTTTCGTACGAAACGATAAGTTTTTGGAACCCTGATTGATCAGGGGGCGGGGCTTGATCGATGCGTCCCTTTTTAAATAGTCATATTACACTTCTAATTTTTTTAAATAAACTTTAACACCTTCCCTATACTGCACATTTGATAGTACTCTTTAACTTTTTCCAAAGTTTGTGAAGTCTGTATTTTTGAAAAGTTTTTTGCAACAATTCATGCTCAAATGTTAAGAGGTATGTCACCTTTCTGGCAAAAATACGGCTAGTGTAGGACTTATGTCCCAGGCAAGCTTGGCATAGTCCCGCCAATGTCGATCTGTGTTAGGTTTGGATCGCCATGTGGCTATATTGTCTTCTCCCGGCACCGCCTGCTCGATACGCCCGTGCGGGTTGTGCCAAGTTACAAGGAATTCTATTTCTACTGCCTGTGAAACAACAATACATACTAATTATACACAATGTTATTTTTTTGAGAAATAAATAAAAATTCTTTATACAACGATGGGTGCAAATATCTTATGGTGAGACTTCACTATGATATTTTGTAAGGTTACTCAATTTTGATAAACAAGCATGTTGTGTATATCTAGTGTGAAATGACATTGGGATTTAAGGTTGATAAAAACTATTTTCAAAACAAAATTTTCTTCCGATTAAAGAAACGACTATCGATAGTCTTTGACGACCGGATGGCATAGTGGTTTGTGTAACGGACTGCTATTCCAAAGGTAGCGGGTTCGATTCCCATTCATGTCAAACATTTGTGTGCATTAACATTTAATGTTTGATTTGGTCTGGGTGTTTTTTATGTATAATAAGTATGTATTTACGTAAGTATGTATTAAAGTTAAAAAATTGGACCACGGGACTATAAGAGGGTGTCGTTAGTCCAACTTCGAAATAATTGTACCACGACCCCTAGTAAAGACCCTTAGTCCGACTTCTGAAATAGATGGACCACAACATCTAGTAAAGACCTTTAGTTCAACTGGTTGAACAAATAGCATTTGGACAACTGCCCCGTACCCCAAGCGTAAGTGTAGTATTCTGTAATTTTGTACTAAAGGTCGGACAAAGCACATATTTGTTAAAATGTAAAGCAGCTTCTTTCTAAATATTACAAAACCGATTCTGCTCTGCACTGTACCATCAGGATCGAACTCTAACAGTATTGCTTCTTTTTAAAGTTCTCAACTCACCATCAGCTCTAGTATAAGGTTTCTCTTCTTGACATAATCCTTAACAAATGTATCTTGTGCCTTGACGGGAGGCTTCACACTTCGGTTGGAGCGCTTTCCTACAACACTGCCTGCACCACTACTCAAAGTTGTTGTCGACATAGGTACCTACCAAAAGAAAAAGGTTTTTTTATGCTGAAAATATGTTACACTTATAACTCTACTTCTATAGAAATAAGATATTATTTCAATTACCGTGTTAATCCAGCCCGTAGTTGTTCGACTACCTATTTCGCTGTTCACCGAAGATCGATTGTCTGTTGGCGAGTTTGATGTATATACGCTTTGTTGACTGTTGGGGCCCATGAGTTCGTAGTCTCCTGTATAACGTACAAATACTTTTTAAATTATTGCAAATACTATGCATTACCTCCACACAAGTGGAGGAAATGCATAACAGATTAAGTCATAGAACATGCTTCGCTTCTCATAAGTTTCAGTTGACAACTGACAGTGGCAGTAGGGAATTAAGTGGAGGTAATGCATAACAGATTAAGTCATGGAACATGCTTCGCTTCATATAAGTTTCTGGTTCTGTTGTTTGTGTCCCTGTTTTAATCTGCGGGAAGATCAAAGCAAGATTTTTCGCTTTTCACCAAGTGACTGAGGTTAACGGCGAACCAACCCCTCCTCTTCCCTTCAATTTGGGTACAAAATTGTCTGACTTACCGCTAGGCGACCCAGACCCTACCTGACCTTAGCAGATAACTTGCTGTCCGCGAGCGGTTACAGACAATGTACCGCACTGAAAGCGTGGGTCATTCGCTGTTAGTAAAACGCAAGGCGGTAAATTTCCTAGTTTGCACTTATTTTTATTGTAAAATGTAACTAAACATAATGACTTTAAGATTGTATTTAATACCGAGCGCGGTATCGTATAAATGAGTTTCTTTGAAATACTCCCAATACTAGCAGTATAACTTGTCGTGTCGGCGACTGGAAGGGCTTCGAGGAAAGCACTTATGCTTCGAAAAAGTCTCTTCAGAGCTTAATTATGCTCTATTACTTCTTCTCTTCCTTATTACTTCTTCAAAACTTTGTTAAAATATGTTCTCTCTATGCTTACCTCCAATATCACTGCTTTTCAAGTACTTCTTATCAGAATGCATGAGTTGCCAGAACTTGATTAGCGATATGATGTCCTCCCTCAAAGCACCAGAGCTTTTCGCTGGACATTGAAGTCCTCGACAGAAGTAGTCTAGGCAGGCGGAGTATACTCTCTCTCGTAGAATGTTGCGAGCCAATGAGCGGGGAAGAATGTCGCCTTGAAGAAGCGAGAGACCGCAGGAGAGAAGCCTATAAAAAAAAGTTTTTAAAATATGAATATATTTTTGGTATAATAAAAAAACCCTCAAAAAACACACTAAATATCTAAATTATTTTACTGTATTATATCTTCTACATCAATATAAAAAAAGAACAACACAAGAGGGAGTTCATTTTTTTTATCATATGTTAAATACCACCTAGCCACTTTAATGACTACTGATTATGCATCATGATATTAATTGACTGAATACTCTATATAAAAATTCCACATCCAGCATTCAACGCTATATCAGCAATCGCCTAGCATGGGCACAAGGCCTTCCCTTTGTGTTGGAGAAATACCACATCCTTATTATAAACAACTAGTTTTTTCCCGTCGCTCCACCCGCGTGTTTGTCGGTTATCGCGGTAAAATTTCATTAAAATAGGTTCAGCAGTTTAGTCGTGAAAGTGCGAGAGACAGACAGAAGTAATTTCGCATTTATAATATTGGTAGGGCTTATTCTATTAGTGTTACAAATACAGGTACCTGAATCTGACCCCAACAGCATCCACGTGCCTATTGATATGATCTCTTACATCGCCGACGGTGATGGGCAGTGACCTGTGTAGCAAGCTGGCTAACATCTCAACTTTCTCCAAGCTGTTGTACTTGGCCGTCTCAGCAACTTCAGACAAATATCTAACCCAAACGGCGTGCGGCGCCACAAATGGTGGACGTGGCTCTAATTGTGCACCTATAATCAGATAGAATATAGTTAATAAGATTAAGTAAAAAATAGAGTATCAACCTTTAGATACACTACTTAATTGGCGTGCAGAACAAGAAGGCGGAAGTAAGACGAGGACGGGGACCGGGAGAGGTGTGGGCGGCAGGCGTTTTCTATAACTGAAGCGGTTTATATACAAGAGCCCAAAAACACAAAAGAAGAAATTGTAAATAGACTTATATCAAAGGAAACTGTAAACTTATAGTAATGGCAGTTGTCTTTTCCGCTTAATTGACGTCGTTTTTTCTTGACAGTCAAGTTTTGTTAAAAAAAACTGATTCTATAATATTTGTTGTAACCAAGTTTTTTTACCATTTTCTGTCTAATATCTCAATAGTATCAAAATTTTGTTGTCTTGGATTTTGAACTAAAAAAAATACCTATAATTTTTTTGTGTAGTAGTAATATCTACTATATTAAATATTTGCATGACCTATGAAGGACCAAATTACGTATAATATTTTAAGGCATAATTTATAAACTCATATACCTTCATGAGCAGCCAACGGACTGGTCTCTTCATGCTGTTTAGAGAACAAACCCATTTTTCTATCGACTGTACTCTGCCATGCCGCGAAAATTTCTTGCAGTAGTCTTATTTCCAGGTCTGGTCGCGCTGTCGTAAGCCACTGCCAACATTCCACTGCTGAGGTGACTGCATCTTCAGTGAAGATTTCTACTTGGGACCATGCTGGAGGAAAATGTATATTTTTGTAAGATTAATATTCGTAAGTTTCATCATCTAAGCAAGTTCAAGATTATGTCTAGATGATAGATTGGGTGATAAGAATATTTTTTTTAAATACTAAGGTGGGTTTTGACTATTAATCTAATAGACATGAGGTATTTGGACATATGCGTATTAGTTTTCTTATTATGGCACCCGTAGGTATATGAGCAAACGGATTACCTTATTTCCTTTATGTGAAAAGGGTCAGACGAGCAGACGGGTCACCTAATGGAAAGTGACCATCGTCGCCCATGAACGCTTGGCAACACAGGAGTCACAAACGCGTTGCCGTTCTTTTACGAGGGAGTACGTTCTTTTCTTGAAATAAGTGATTACCATCAACATCAATAATTTAAAGGCTGACAATGCGTTTCTGACTCCTGAGTTGCAGGCGTTCATGGGCGGCGGTAGTCGCTTTCCATCAGGTGACCCGTCTGCTCGTTTGCCCCCTATTCCATAAAAAAAGTAGAGATGGTTTAAGTGCAAGTAACCTCATTTAGAACAAGAGCATCAAAAGAATTGGTTTACACCGGTTTTCTGTGAGGTCGTGGTGATTGCCTTTCAAACATGCAGTTAGACATACGGGTGGTCCAAGCGCTAAAAAAAAGTAGTCGAGTTAGGTCAACAGAGTCAACTTCGCTGCTTCTTACTGCGCTGAGCGTGAACTATAGGGAACAAATAGTCGTTCTAATCTGGGGGTTCTTTGGGTCCGTTTCACGTGTGTCATACAAATTTATCGCGCGGGAGTCGTCTTTTTAAAAAGCAATAGTAGCGGTAAGGTGTGGAGCACTGACCGACGGCGTGCAGCAGGGCGCGCGCGGTGGGCGAGGTGACGGCGTGCGGCGCGTGCAGGCGCGCGTGCACGAGCAGCGCCGTGGCGCGCCACAGCGCGGCGCGGTGCGTGGTCTCGCTGCCGCTGGCGCACGCGTCGCGCAGCGCCCCGTGCAGGCGCGCGCCGCAGCGCCACAGCGCCGCCTCGCCGCCGCCCTCCGCGCTCACCGTGCCCGCTATCTGACCACACCCACACGTATACACATATTATGAGCACTTCACACACGGCATTCTCATTGGAAGCTAAGTACAGCATGTACGATGATAACCAGCCTGCTGATAAACATACTTATATATTGCCATCATCGACAGCCTCAATTTATCCACTACCGGACATAGACCTCTCCTTAGAAAGAAGGTTTTGGCCTACTATAAGACGCTGGCCAGACGAGTTGATATAGCTAGTTTTAAGTTTTCCTACTCCTTGTAATAAAAAATACTTCTAAATACATACATATTATAGATATATTACACCTTGACACAGAACAAGTGATGATACTCATCATACAAATGCTATCCTTGATGGGTATCAAACCCACGATCTCCACTTAGCTGCCAGGGTCACTAACCACTAGACCAACAGGCCTGTCTTATATATTAACTGACAGTTAACTGCCTACCGCATTTCAATAGAAAAATGCCTTTAAAAGAAACCTAATAGCATACCATTAAACATGCAACGAACGATCACACGCACGCACTAAAATACCACGCCCGCATGATCTCACCCTGTTCATTTGCATATTTGTTACTATGAAATATATTATATAATTTTAGAATTAACCTTAAACTTTTGTTATTAATATTTTTTTTCAGTGTTAAAATAAACCAACCAAAAATTAAACTTTTCTAATTCTAAAGTAGTCGTAATTCATAAACAAAAGAAAGATTTACATTTAAGTTTTGTAGACGTTGCTCGTTTCTTATTATTAACAATAATAGCAAACTAATAAGCATCTATTTTAAGTATCTTCAATCAAATAACTAATCGATTAATAAAACACTGTATCGAAAATAAAAATAATTTATACTTTAAATCATTTGAAACTTTCACCCAAAATGAATTAGCAATTCTATACTCACTTCGCCAGCATACCGACTTCTTTGCGACACGACAGCTAACAACGCGGCCGAGTCCTGCGTCACGCATAATGGTCGCTTGTCCAGCGCGGCCCGAGGTAAAGGCGCCGACATTCTGTTCAACCCGGCGGCTCCTAAAAGTGCACCCGTCGCCAGGGCCAGGCCGCAATGATGCCACAACGTGGAATTTGGTACCTACGGACATAAAAATACAGATGTAAGTTTCATTCTCAGTAGTGATAAAGTTAATTGATTTTTTAACATATATCACCCAAGTCAATGTGGTTACATTGAAATAAATGTATAATTAATTGTAATACATTGTACTCTTCATTCCTTAATATGCCCTTCATTCCTCTTAGTGGTGGTTTTTCTTTTGTTAACATTTTAATCGGACCAAACGGGAATTACACTTACTTAAATGAAAAAAAAAGATCTATCTAAAGATCTAAAAACAAGAATAAATATACTTAGGTATATCATCAACAGCCTTTAATGCAAGACATAAGTTTCTCCTTAGAAAGGAGGTTTTGGCCTACTATATCATGCTAGCCAGACGGGTTGGACTAGGGTTTGTGTCAAGTCTTCGGATGTCTTAACAACAGCAGTTCCCGGATCCCTCCCATTACAGGTGCAGAGTGGCACACCGTGTGGTTTTAGTCGGTCCGAGTCCGACACATCACCCTGCCGAAAAAGGTGTTGTGAAGGCCACGTAAAAAAAAGGGTTTGTGTCAAGTTTCCTTTTTTTTCTGCAATGCTATTGTACTGCTTAGTTTGTCTCTTAGTCGGCTCTTACCACACCCACGGGATGAATAGGGGTGTGTATACTTAGGTATATAGAACAAATTTATCGAACTGGTTTATCACAAAACTCAAGCCGTCTCAATGAAACAATCAGTTCGGATAATCCTTTTCAAATTTCTGCATTGCCTCAGCCTCAGATAGTGTTATATTCGGTATCAGAAAACGAGCAGAGAAAACAAAGTTTCGTGTACTAACCTGATTAAGATATTCTTGTAAATGAGATCGAGTAGATTGTGGCGCCCATTTCATTGCCTCTTGCACAATACCGTGACAACGGTCGGCAAAATCTTTCACGATACACTGAAATCATACACATCACAATATATGCATACAGTCAGTTAAGTTCTAACAGTGCGCAAGTCAAAAATGACAACTTTACAGTAGAGTGAAATAACTTTTCCACTTAAGATTATTTTTCTTTTTTTAAAGACAACTCTCGCACTAAGAATAAATCCTGTATCGCGGGGGACTCTAAAAACATTTAGGAACAGACACAGAGAACACCTACATTCAGAAAAACAATTTGTTGATCACACAAAGTTCTGCCCCATGTGGGGATCGAACCCACAACACTCAGAGCAGTAGAAAGCGATAATGGGGTCCGCTTAAACCACTACGACATCGGGGCGGTCAACTTTTGGTGTATAAGGTCAACACATATTAATTTAATACTATGATTGTATTAAATTGTACTACGAGATTCTATTACACTCACCTCTCTTCCTTCTAAAGTATCCTGCAGTTGTAAAGTGAAGTCAGTTAACGGAACTTTCAGCAAAGGTGTTTCTTGATTAGCGTCTAGTTCCAAGCTAAAGCTTAGTACTTGAAGAATATCTAGCATTGACCACAGTACCTAGAAAAGGAATTTAAGTTCAAACCTGATAACCAATTACTATAATATTGTGAAGAAACGGGCGTTAAAAGACCTCTGTATCAGAAGGATATGTTAGCAAAATGCCATTGATATACTTAATCGGCGCGAAAATTTTCATAGCGCGGTACAGGACTCGTACTCCGTAGTTCTTATGTTAGTCTCCGTTATATTGTATTGAAGCATGAGATTTTGTAATTTTTCAAAAAATCGGTATTGGTAGACTTACTCGACAATTCCACAGAAGGTGAGGGAATCTATCAACGAGGCCAGCTAACCATTTATCAGCTACCCTTCTGATTTGTTTGTGTATATGATTGAAGTTAACCAGAAGGAACTGCGCGTGTCCCTCTAGCTCCCTCTCGCGGGACTCATCTTTGACCTTGTCGGACATCACGTCCAAAAATTTCTGAAATACTTTATCTCCGACACTGCGCAAAAGAAGAAAATGAAAAAGGTAAAAATAGATCAGGCTTATCTGTATATAGAATAATATTAATTGTCATAAGTGAACTCCTCAAAGTTTTAAGGCCAGGTGCGAGTTTATTTCACATCAACTAGCTCTTGACAGCGAGCGCGTTCGACGTTGCGATTGGTTAAGATTTCAGTGAGGGCCAATCACAGCGCTGAACGTGATTACTGTGACGATCTAGTAGATAAACTCGAACTTGGGCCTCAGAATCTTGGGTGAGTAAGTCTCAACTTAAAATAATAATAATAATAATATTCTACCACATACACACAACGCCATCTAGTCCCAAACTAAGCAGAGCTTATACTATGGGTACTAGACAACTGATATAAATACATATATACTTTTTTTTTGTAAATACATACATATTATACATAGAAACACCCAGACCAAATCAAACATCAAATGTTCATGCACACAAATGTTTGACTTGAGCGGGAATCGAACCCGCGACCTTTGGAATAGCAGTCCGTTACACAAACCACTACGCCATCCTGTCGTCGTAAAAGGAAAAAAAAAACAAGCTTATACGACATTTTATGCATTCGTATAGTAGTGCTTTGTAGATGTAATAAAAACATACATACCTCGCAACACATAGCCACATACCGGTCTTGTCTTTTTGTAACGTTGAGTCACTCAGATACTCAATAATTGGTTGTAAGCTTGGCTCGGGAGAGTTACAAACCCTAAAAATATAAAAATAACAATATATTTTTTTATTTTATTTATTTATTTATTTTTAACTTTTTACACAAGTACATGCATCGGCGGACTTAATGCCTAAGGCATTCTCTGCCAGTCGACCGATTGGGCGGTGCTGAGAAAGAATGAGGTAGGTGCATTTATGGTAGGGTATAAACGATAGTGGTTTTGTTAAATACCAACTATCTTGGAATTTGGTGTATACGTCGTAATACCACACACATACATATATATACACATACATACTCATAATAATATATATGTGTACAATTACATGATTAGGTACTTAATAATATTTATACATATATAATTGTTTATGTAGTAAACGGTCAATCTTTTTTTAGCTACTGAGATTGTAAACAAGCAATATGGATTGTCTGACGGTTAGATCAGATTATATTATGAACATTTGCATCAAGTAATGTCTATACTACACTATCTTGTATCTTTTAAGAAACCATGGCCAGGTAAAAACCATCCCAAGGAGGTCATTCTACTCCTTTTTTTCCACGTCTGATGACCATGATGTTTCTTCATTAATTAGCCGTGGGAGAGTTAGGCGTCAGTACATATATAAGCCCGATCAAGGAAAACTGGTGTTTATTAAGCACTTATTTTATTGAAGATTTCGTTTTTAGTTTGAGATAACAGCAGGGCCAACTTCCCTTCACTCCACCCTCCGGAAGTAGTCACTTAAAACAGAGGCCCACGTGAGAACTTATTACACATCTACTCGATCATCACGGTGACCGCGTTCGGCGCTGCGATTGGCCCGCACTGAACTCTGCACCAATCGCAGCGCCGAACCGATTCGATGTGAAATAAACTTGCACTAGGCTCTCAGGTGACCAGTACAACATCTTGCTTTTTAATACTTGACCGAGATTTATTAAATTAGCTATTGTAATCGCTATAAGATACATATTAGTCTTACCTCAAAGTCTCCAGCCAATACACACTGAGTAGATACATACAGGGCGCAAACGTCAACTTATTCACGACAACAGTGACATCTGGTTGATGATCGAGGAGGTTCGATATCTGAGTTTTTAACTCTTGAAGTTCGTTCATAGAAACTGAATCGTTTCGTACGGCAGACGTGTATTGGAGCTCGCGCATTTCAGAACGTAGAGATGTTTGTGAAACAAGGAAGGGTGATTTTACTGCTATCTCTTTTACACCAGTGTACCACTCTTGTGGCCATAATCCTGTGGAATGGCGGTCATTTTTTAATAACACTTACTTTTATAATACCTTTTTGTTATGATAGAATTTTAATTTTATTTTGTCATTTTCGGTAACATTTTATATACTTCAATTAAATATATATTAATTACGACTTATTATAATTACAACACATATACGTACCAATCTAGTACTTTTACTCACGGCCAAATAATTATTAGTTTAATTATAAAAAACACAAATAACTATCTAAATTAATTACCCAACCAAAACCCAGATATAATCAATTTGCAAAAAAAAATTAGTTAAAAAGCAATACTGAAAACAAAATCTAGAGTCAATCAGTCACTAAATCAGTTACTCAAAAAACCCACTTCATTTTCACTCAAAAAGCATCATCTACATACGTACCTAGAAAACAATATTAACTAACAATGCTTTTTACTGTTTCCTAAAAGCTCACTGGTTAAAAAAAGACAAATTTGACCCAACTATTACACACACTAAAAACTTTTATACAAATGTCTGTTCAAACTTAAACTTAAATTGTTTATGGGCGAATCTACACGAGCCGATCCAAGATCTTTTTCACTTCGTACAATAATACTCGTACGAAGAGATGAGTAATACTCGTAGGAAGTATGGATGCAGATTTTTTAAATTACATTAAGTTAGCTACCGAAGGCGATCGAACGAAGAACGCTCGCTGCTCTCAGCAAGTTTAAAGGGTAAGTGACTACCGCCGCCCACAGACACCTACACAGCAAGAATCACAAGTGCGGTGTCGCCCTTTTAGTCCCTCTCCCCAGAACCGGGGAAGGAGAAATCCTCCCCAGTTGGGGCTACGGTAAATTGGTGAAACTCATTTAGTGAAAAGAAATGAAACCACCAGTTTTCCGTAAGGCCTGGTATCACTCCGGTCGAGCCAGCCCCAATGTGCCGAAAAATGGCTGTCCACGATAAAAATTAATAAAAAAATTAAAACGAAAGAAAACGCTATACGAACGAAAGAGATCGCGGATCGGCCAGTATTAACTCGACATAAACAATTCAAAATGGTGCTATATACATTTACTTTATTTAGTATATGGTTAAAAACTAATAATTTGTTAAAATTTGTTGAAACTCTACAAACTTATACAAAAGACTAAAAGAGCAGCCGTCGAAGTATTATATCTTGAAGATTGTTTGGACTTTAAAAGACACGATGATATGGAGGACAATAATAAGAAATCTTTATTTAGAGGGTTCGGATTTAGTCAATTAAAGTTACAAGAATCCGCCTCTGCCCTTCTCGAGCTACGAGCTATTATTTTGAATTATAAAGATTAATTGGGTACTACCCCAAACAGTATGCGTAATTTGGGTGTTTAATCACCCGTGTCTACCCTATTAGAGATACGCTTGAGTATATGTATGTATCTAACATGCGTCATACTTATCCAACAAATTGTAGATATAGCACCATTCTCAAACAAAATCATGATAAATAAACAACACACATCTATACTCTAAAAGCATGGTTACTCACGCTTTCGCATGGCTAAAGGCGTTGCCATAGAAGAAGAGATAATAAGACTGGTAAATACATCTATATAAACACAGTTTATATATACATTTAAAAAGACAGTGCTGAGATTAAAGATTAAGATTTGTTTATGGTGCGTGTGCGGGTTCGAACACGTACGTACACGTATGTGTGCGTACGAACATATTTACGATCTTGTTGGTGTAGTTAGATTGTTAGTAACTTCTAAGCCAGAGGACAAGGGCTCTCTCAATCTCTCTATTCTCACCCAGGTCAAATAATGTTTTATATTCTTTTGATCTATGCCTAGGTATAAGTTATCTGTAATTTGTATTCACTCAGTAATATAATAGTCTGTTTATCAGCAGTCTAGCTACCATAGTAAAGGCTTTGCTTAGTTTAGGACCAGACAGCCGATAGATATTTTAAAGATAAGGATTTAGTTTATTACTTAAACTACTTTAGTCTGTAATAATTGCAAAAGATGAATCTCAAGTTATTTTACCAATACTTAATATGGAATACCTACTAATTGAAGTTAATCAAAAGAATTATATAGCCTAAATGTTTCAATCGTTAAAATGCGGATTCAGTTTATAATTTTAAGTGAGAATTAACTCCTCATATATAGAAGAGACGGCACCACAGGACATCTGGGATATGTTTTAAATACAAAGTAGGCGATAAACCTATTTTACAAAGTATAATAAATAGATATAACATCATCATCATCATCAACAGCGTTTAGTAGTCCACTGCTGGACATAGGCTGGATATAACATCGTTAGTAATTAACACCACAAGCGCTTCTTAAAACATATGTATACAGTCCAAACCCGTTCATTGCACCGTCGTAGAAAAATATTACTAAGCATAAATTGATTTTAAGGGTAATTGAGATACTTTGAATAATAAATAAAGTAATGGAATAAAAAACTAAACAAATATTCACAATGATAATTACCTGAGTCAGCTGCAGTGAAGCCCATGACGACGCAATAGAGCCAAAAATCTTTGAAAAGTTTATGTAATCGAGGCTTCGGATTTCTGATTGGTGGTAATCTTTTTACCAGGACCTGTGAACAATGTTATATCTAAAATAAAAATAAAACTAACATATGACAAAAAATGTATTCGTTAATTTAAATTAGCATGTACCTGAAAAGCGAATGTCAACCACCAGTGGATGAGAAGTTGAGAAGTAACAGGTTATCCTGGTATGGACATGTGTTGTGTAGAGATCAGTAAAATGAAATTAAAAAAGTTTTATGTATGGAAGCTGACGGATATGTGTAGAGGACGACCAAAGAAAGATGGATGGACTGCATGAAAGATGATATGGCTAGAGAAGGAGTAAGCAGTAAACAGTAATAGAGGAGAATGGAGGAAAAAAACTTCTTGCGAATCCTAAAAATAAATTTTGGGAAAAGGGTAATAAGATTATGAGTTGAAGATGAAGTAACAGTAAATTATGTATACAAAGAAGAACCGCTACCGTTGTGTGAAGGTAATGATGACGCGTGTACTTCAAAAGTTGAGTCAGTGTGATGGTTACGCGTCATTTTCCAGTAAGTTGGAAGATTTTACATGAGGTTATCCGTCACGGATTAAGAATACGGAGTGTCGCTACCCCTATTCATCCCGTGGGTGTCGTAAGAGCCGAATAAGACGTTGTTTTAGGTTAATCAGTCAAGTGTACTTGAGATTTGCATCTAGATCATATAAAGAAAGTCACTTACCAAGATATGACATTATGTTATTTAATCTAACATTCAAATAACAGTCCATTGAATACTTTGTTGAGTAAACTACGCAAGACAACAGCACTGCAAAGAGAAAGAAGACTTGAAACAAACCCTATTCCAAGCCGTATGGTCAGCGTGGTATAGTAGGCCAAAACCCCCTTTCTAAGGAGAGGCCTATGTCCAGAAGTGGACTTTTAAGGGCTGTTGATGTGTGATTTGGAATGAGACATAAGGTCGACACATAAAAGAAGGGGTGTACTTACAGCAATAACTGGTATAAGAACGCCTAAGTTGCCCGCACTCCCGGACGCTTTGAGCACGGGCGCGGGTGAGCGGTCCGTCGCCCGCTCGCCTCCCAGCCCGAGTTGAACAAACAGCTCCAACAATCGAGTCAGGAGCTCAAGTCGAGCGCTTGTACCTCGCACATTCGCAGCTATGTTGGCTAGAGCGTTTAAAACTGCACCGGACACGTGCCTAGGGGAAAAATACGGATGAATGAGTTGACATGAATGAGACACCATGTTATCAATACATCATCGTCATCAAACTGGTATCCAGCTAAACCCAATTTTATTTTATTTCGCGTGTTGATTAATGAACAAAATATAACGAGGAAAGTTGGAATAAGTAATTTATTTATTTATATGGACACCCATTTGTTTTTAAACAACAGAAGTCATAATGATTTAATATAATATCGTAATCAGTGTTTTAGGAGCACAACGCAACGTAACGTAACGCAATGTAACGCACAACTGTTTTAGGAGTCATAGCATGCAAAACTAAATTAAGTAGACAGACTAGACAGTAGCACACTATGCGCTTAAGATATACATATAATTATGTTTTTAATCACAAGAGACATTATACCTTAACACAGAGGAATAAGTCATATTTCAGATGGTAGAGATGGCGATAGGCGATTGCAGTACCTTTTAAAGACATCATAGCAATTTTTTTTTTCAAACATGGAATAGACAGAAGCGAAGAGTATGTTGAAGTTACTCAAACTACTTGGCGGAATAATAAAGAGTCACCTGTACTGCTTCCTGTCATCAGTGTGGTGATAAGCAGCACTAGCGGCCTCCACGGTGATAACTGTAAACATCCTCAAGATCTCATCGTGCGCTGGACCTTCAGGGCTTGCGAGAGCCATACAACCAAGTTGGTCTACGATCAAAGTGTCCAATGATGAAGGTGCACGACATAGCCTGTGAATAGTTGAAAAACAAACAACTTGTCAAATTTTCACAATATTTTTTAACAATTCGCTAGTGCCATAACTAGCCAATGGAAAGACTAAAGAGTAAGTAACAATAGTTAATATATTGCATTGATAATCAGAGGGCCGAGTGCAAGTTGATTTCACATCGACTCGCTTATGACGCTCATGATTGGTGGAGATTTCAGTGCGGGCCAATCGTGCGCCGAACGCGGTCACCTTAACGATCGAGTTAAAGTGAAATAAACTCGCACTTGGCGCTCTGAAGGAAATAAAGAATTCATTAATAAATAATTACCTTTGCTGGAAAAATTGCAGGATGGTGTCAGTAGTTTTGGGCGTATCTTTTAACGCGACGGCGACGTGACCTAACATTATCACTATATTCGTACTAATTAGCGAAGATTCACTGAAACAATATAAGTTAAATGTGATAATTGTTTTGTTAACTGCTGCTGGCTAACTGAAGGTTTGCATGTGCATCAATGTTTTCATTAAAAAGTAATTTTCCAAGTAACTACATACCTAACTATAAATCAAATATTACTCGTAGTTTAACAAGTAAATACACTTTTAAACTAAAATAAACTTAAATTGAGTGATTTGGACATTAAGATCAGGAGTGAAAGATTAATTACACCCGTGGAAACACATATTTCAAACTCGTATTGTGGAGAAATGGGCTTTATGTAATTATGCTCCTCCAGGACAAAAGAAGGATCCTCAGACGCCGCGGCCAAACGGTTAATGTTGAGATGTTGTATATATTATTATATTATAATCGGGGTGAGAACTTTTTATATGGCGATACAGGATTATCAGTTACTCCGTAGTTCCGTGTATCTTCGTTAGATGGCGCTGAAGTATTTTTTTTTATTATATGTGGTAGTCGCCACAGTATTAAAATTAATAGAAAACTGTAATAGATGTGTAGAGTGTAGTGCAAAATTTTATATTTAATTTGTAGGAGAAGCCGTTATTGTCTGACCTGTCGCTCGTTTCGGCAGTAAACAATCTATTGCTGACGGAGCCGACCAATGCTGGAACACAATAAGGGTCGACTGTCAGAGCAGCCTCTAGCGCCACACAAAGATTCTCTATGGCCGCATCTCGAAGTTTCTCAAATGGCGTAGACTTGACAGGCACTCCCGATTCTGTTAAACCTTTCAACTCCTTTCCTTGAACTGTAATAAAAGAATTTATTTTTATTTTGGTTTATTAAATACTAATACTTAGATTTGGTCACGATCAACTCCGAACTACTTAAATCTTTACTAAATTAACATTTAAAGTCCAGGGGCTGGCAGTTAAGAGTGGTGTTGGTGAGGAGTTCCGTTGCCCAACGACGACTAAATTGGTTCTTCTAATACAGTAATCGTCTACAGTCCTAATATAATATCGTTACCGTCGCCTTAAGCTGAGGCATATGATACGAATCGAATGCTTTATAAAAAGTTCGAACATTCCAGAAAGTGCCATGATGTTCTAAGTTTCCGGAGAGGTTTCGAACCATTTGGGTTTTTACTCACGTGTTACTTTCATGTGTTCCTTGCCCGATTTCTCTAGTTCCAACTTGTGCAGTTTGAATAATATCGGTGATGGTGTCACCAAAAAGTCTCGAAGGCAATAAATCGATGTGTTTGCTATCGATGGAAATTTTGTAGCAAGTTTGCCGAGTCCCTGTAAATATTTAACATTTTATTTTTTTTTTAAATATTTCTTCATATTTTGCCATATTAAATAATATTTAAACTCAACCGGTTAAAATCATGTCTATTAGCCTGACTATTCAATGACTAACAGACCTATTGAAGAATATGATACGGTTATAAAGATTTTTTTACACCTGCAAATCAGAAACACAAATGCAATACCGGCTGTTAATTTTGGATTGCCCTCCGAAATTAGGATCTCTTTAAGGCGTATCACTCCGTTTGAGCCGGTCCATACTGATAGATAGATAGTAATAATAATAATAACTTCACACATCTCACACACGGCCGTCTGATCCTAAACTAGGCAGAGCCTTTACTATGGTAACCAGACTGCTGATAATCACTTATATATTTCTAAATACATACATATTTTAGATAAATTACACCAAGACACAAAACAAATGATCGTACTTATCCCACAATATTTGTTCTGTGTGAGAATCGAACCCACGACCGTCAAGTACAATACTAACACTGACAAGGTCACTAACGCATTACACATCCTTTTTAGAAGAGCTATGATACTTACTTCGAGGCAAACCATGAGTAGCGGCATATGTGCTAATATCAACTTGTGATTATGATTGGAGTTTATTTTCTCCGTCAAACGCCCACATAACGAGTCAGCACCTGCGATCACATACACATTTTATGTTTATAAAGTAAATTCAAAGGTTATCTCACTGCTGACTTATTTACAAATGTTTATTATAAAAACTGAATTCTTGGACAAGATGAAAACGTTTGTACAAAGCTTTATATTCAGTATTGCTAACCTTACTCTTATTCTAAGGCTATGAGAATTTTATATCATTCTTATATGATATTATTAAGTACCTAATGAACTCTTAAATATAGTATTAATAAACAAGGAATACATAATGGTTAATACAGGAATTCTGTGAGGTTTATTTCATTAGTGATGACAGTAAAATAATATAACCCATCGTTCAGCCTCCTTCGGTATAAATACAAGGTTTGTGCCTATATATTTACAGTTTTAGTATAAATTATATGGATATACTGAAAAACTGCATTAAGGTTTATACAATTAGTAACATATCTATATAAATTAACTTTTTAATTTATGATAAATTAACTTGGGTGAGAAAAATATAATCTACGTCATATCCTTTGATATTAACATATAAAAGCCGCTAAGTGATACCAGTAAGTTAAAAATTGAGAATGTTTAATTCATACTAAACATTCATCATCATCATCATCAAAAGCCTCTAACAGTCAATTGCTGCACTATACCGCGATGGCCAGACGGATTGTCTCAAGTTTTCCTTCTCTTTGCAGTGCTCTTGTCCTGCAGAATTTGCTCCCTTAGCTCTAGCTGTCTTACGACACCCACGGGATAAATACGAGTCCTGACAATCCGTATACTTAATCCGTCACCACACGGACATCATTTCATGTGACAAAAACAATCGGTTTAAAAAAAAAGATTTTATGTAAATATATATATTTGTGCATTGTACCATAATGACTTGTTTTTTATATCAAACTGACCAGCTTTATGACTGACAAATTTACTATTTTTATAACATAGTTATATTAGTATATATATTGTTTGTACCAAACATTCAACTAATAATCGTCCAAAAGATATAGATAACGGGATATATTTAAGTAGTAATTTATTGCAATGTGTGCAAAATGTGAGTAAGTTCGGGATATCAGTCGCAGCAACATAATTTAGCAAAGCGATAAGTTTCATTTATATGTATGTTGTATGATAAAATACAGGCAGTAGTTAGTGAATAGGGTCACTCAATCGTCACACTGCTTGATACCTATTAATATAGTTAGAGCATTTATAAGAGCTGGCACGTGATAGTCGGCATCAACTGCAACACCAATACAATACATACATTACGATAATGACGAGCTTCTAAAGTTTATTTTATAGATTTACTATTTGTTGCCAGTGGTTGTAGCAGAATATTAGCCAAGCTCTTGTTTTTTCTTTAAACAAAGACAATGTTTAGAAACAGGCCGTGCTGTTCTTTAAACAGGCACTCTAACCAGGCTAGCACTATAGCTGATTTTGAACTGCAGGCCAAACCTTACACAGGATATTATATTTATTTTTAAAGTATGTAAAAAGAATTTTTTATACATGGCGATAAATAATAATACTAGTACTTGTTAACTTTTAATGTTTTGATATATTAGTTAACAAACACGATACAATATAATCTTTAGAAACTCGTGACAAATAAATTAATTTAATAAATACAAGCTATCTGAATATTAAAGATAATGTCAATAGGAAATACCGCAAATATATTTAAAGGATAAATACAAACAGGACAATTACAAATAAATATAACCAACAAGTTTAATCTCTAAACTTATTGACAAATAGAAATAAAATATTTTTACCGATGTGCCATAATCCTTTTAAGAACTTTTAAAGAAGTTTCAACATTGTCAACGAAATACTAGAGTACATAATTACCTGTTTCATCACCAATAGCCCAGACAAGGAGATCAACGCACGCCGAATTAGCCATCACATTGACTTTGAATTTGTTCACAGTGGCATAGTTGTTTTCTCTGTCCTCTCTCTCTGATGCATCGTGATGACGGCTCTGAAGTTCAGTCTGGCCACTTAGAAATAGACACTTTACAAACTCCTGTAAAGATAAACACATTATAATCAAGAAAATTAAACTTGTAACTACTCACTTCTAACTTTCCAACAAAAGCTAATACGAATTACAAGTATACAACCTTGACCTGCTGAGCTATTGCCTACATTCCTTAATATCTGTGTGGCTTCCACATACAGTAAAACAAAGACATACTACAGCGCCATCTAACGAATATATATTGAACTACGGTGTAGCTGTTAATCCTGTGTCACGATATTAATCATTATCACGCGAGGACATGATACTCGTCCCTTCAGATCTGCATAAGCAATATCTCATTCTGACAGTTGCTCCTACTTATCTATCTATCCCCTTAACTGCCGGTAAGTGGTACTCAAATTACAGTTGGCAAAATGTAAACGTTTAATATGTCTTTCCCTAGCCCTTTGGGGGCATAAGTGTGAGTGTACAAAATAAATAATTACCTGAACATCTTTAGTAAATGGACCTGGTAGGTCCTTTTGATGCTGCAGCAATTCTCTTAGCAGAGTAACCATAACCAGGTTTAAAGTTTCAGAGAACGATTTGTATGGGAAAACCTGAAAATAAATAGCTATGAGTACTTTACTCCATGTAACTATTTTAATATCGATCCAAAAATTATCATCTAATATAAGATGCAACATGCAAATCGGTGCTGCGCAGTACGTAGTCGGTTGTTGTAATTTAAACACATTTATGTCAATCTCACTTAATAAAAGCTGGGAAAATTTACCTGAATTTGCCCTGAAGCATATATGTCTTCAGCCTCCTCATCCAAAAATGCCAGTAAATCTTTAGTCAGAAGCTTTTTAGCTAAAGAAAGAATTGACTGCAAATACGTAACGTAAAATTGGACACTACTTCTTTTCTCAGGCGATTCTGAAAACCTCATATAGGGAAACTGATTGAAACTTGATCCAAACTTATGAAAGAAATATGTGGTAGGATCATAAGGAACTGAATTATAACTATGGAGAGATCCGCGTTTCAAAGTCCCACCAATACTATCAATAGTATCACTGCCATTTTCCAGGATATTTTCATTATTTGCATGCAAATTCCCGGATAATGACCTGGGAATGATTGGACGAAATTGATTAAACTTTCTTTTCTTATCCAAAGTAGAATATTCGAAGTTCGGTTCAGGTTCTTTATTTTTCCCTGGACTCAGTGGTTGGGGGAACAAACGGCAGAGTAGAGGAGGGTCCAATGTTGAATACCGGCCCATGGATCGAGCTAGGCCTATCAAAATTGGTATAGCACTCTTACAAAGTTGAAGTTTAGATAAAGTACTGCTGTAATCTCGACTTTCGTGGCAATTTATAACGAGTTTGGTCAGGTTGGACATAAGTTCTATTTGGGCCGTGATGATTTCTTCCCTGAGAGCTGTCTGTTTCATGGCCACATCAGAAAGCAAGGTGTTAAGACAGAAGCTAAACTTCTCCGCCATTGGTATACCTGAAACAATAAGGAGGGTATATCATGTGCAGTAGCCAGCAGTCAAAAGCGCGTTTAAATGGCTGAACCTCTTCTGTGTTAAATCTGCTCTATCTAATGTAAATAATGCTAATCTAAGGTTTCGTTGTTTCTGCATATTTTTTTTGGTCACAATCTGATTAGTAACATGTCAAATACTTGTTCCTCCTCCAGACCTCTCCCTTAATGCATCTAGAGATGGAAAAAAGAGAGCAGAGAAAAATGTAGGTCACTTGTACCATGTAAAAAAATTATCGGGACGAAGTAATACTACTATCAACAAAAATAGGAGTTAATTCTTTCTATAAAAGACACCGTGAGTGAAGTTTCTAGAAATGCACCCTACACATACAGATTTTTCATTGTTTACGCCGGTGAAACCGCAGTCAAAAGTTAGTACGAAAATAATGATGGGTAACAAAGTCCAATTGAAAATTGACTGTATTATCACCACAATTTTTGGATGGATTTACACCACCAAATGGATTTTTGTACGATTATAATAATAATTTTATGTCTAAATATACATATTTAGACATAAAATTGAGGGTAATTTTCCTAACTAGCATATAATTGTTCATTTTTAGTAATAATTTACTATTATATCATACACGTTTTCGGTATCAATTTATAAAGTATGGCATTAACTTTTTATGCTATTTGTGTAACTTTTTTATCCTAGAATTTAGTATGAAGTAACTTATTCGTAAGTAATCTTACAAAAAAAACAAAAAATGGTTTTACTTTTTTACATAATAATGTATATATTTTTATATACTACGTGGTAGAATAAGTTATCTCCATCAGAATGACTTTACTGACCATAAAAGGATTTTTATTTTTAGTACAATAAAATGCTGTCACGGAAAAATATAAAAGCGCAGTAGCTGCACCTCCCATGTTGCTGTAGAGTTTTGGACACTTAAATCACTATTGTATGTCTTTGATTAATAATATTAGTACTAAATTCTGATAAGAATTACATTACTAACGACGATTATTGACGTCATAATCATTATTATTATACTGTGGATAGTACTCGTAGTAACACAGTACTTGAACTGGGATTTCCTTTCAAGGGTACACCTGGTTCCCCGACTACTGGTACCTGAGACGGGCGTACGGTTTTAGTCGGTTCGAGTCTGACATTGCTACCGGTAAGTGGTATCCGAAGTGGTTTCCGCACAGGAAAACAAAAAAAAGGGTTTTTCTGACACCAATTACCTGGTAATAAAATAGTATCAAAATCGCTCCAGCCGTTTTGAAGAACAAACAGACAGACAGACAGACAAAAAATATTTAAATGTGAGCATAAAAAAAACTTTTTATTTTGACATTACAAACAGACACTTCAATTTGTATGGATAGATTATTTATGATACGACTAGAGCATAAATTACCCGTAACATAGTAAAATGTCCAACTTCGTTACAACAATATTATAATATGTATGTCCTTGCTTAACGTAATTATGGCGTGTGATGATATCAATTCATATCACGCGAATATCATGACGAGCGTTTGCATTATAATTAAAATCAGTGTAATGTAGACGATACAACTCGTATAAAGTACTAATTTGTTTAACCATTTTGCGCATAAATGGTGAACTCTCAGCAAAAAGCTGGTAGCTAGCATTGGTCTAACAGTTACAAATTTTGTTTGCTAGAGTTTAGCACTTTTGAGGTCTGGTAATTCGGCTGTCAGCTGTACGAACTAAATATGCTGAATGGGAGAATTTATTATAAGAGTTCAATTGTCGGTTCTCGATTCGGTTGCATTGAGATAAAAAAATATGTTTGTAAACTCATAACTCCGACTTGTAGAAACTGATTTGCAAAAATATTCTTTTCTTTTGGAGGGCATTGGAACAGTATTACAAAATTCGAAAAAATATACTATCCCTAAGCGTGGAATATCAAGGAATAAAGCGGATAAAATCAAAATCGATCTATGTGGCGTGCAATGGGAGAGGCCTATGTCCAGCAGTGGCCTGCGATAGGCTGATGATGATGATGATGAAAGCGTACAGTTTATTATGATTCATCATAATGTAGGCCATTGAAGTCGGTTTTGATACTTTTTTAATTTGAGTTTCAATTGATGAATGGTAGAATACGTGTTCTAAATAAAGTTTAATTAAAACTTTATTTAGAACACGTATTCTACCATTCATCATTTGAAAGATGCCAAGGAAAAATACTGACTTATAAAATGTAACTAAGTAAATTATACTTCAACATAATAACACGTCATGAACAGATATAGACCAGACCATACCATACATACTTAATTGTATGCATAGATACAGCAATGAAGCACTTGATTTTGTCAAAGCTTTGTATAGACAGGCATTAAATAAAAAATGATGAGCCATTTTTTTATTTAATGCCTGTCAAAGTGGAGAGTGATTACTAAATAAGCAAATTTTAGGAATTCCTCACCACCAGTTTACATCTATTTCTGACAATAAGACAATGAAAATTTTTATATTACCTATTGGTTTTTAAGAATTAAGGTGGGAGTAATATTACCTTTATGCACATACTGTATCTACGCTTAAATTAGCTAAACAACAATGGGTTGTTAGCCCAGCATCTCATTGAATGTGGCATTGAGGGCGCTAAAGTGTTATGTGTATTTCATATAATAATTATTTGATCATCACACTTTAGTCGTAATCACATAAATGGGTAAACTGTTATTACGAATTGTATAAAAGCGAATGCTTCACATGTAATAGGCATATACATACAGAACTTACACTTGCACTCTTTGCAGTTAAATTTAAAATGTTAAAGCATTTCTTTGTAGTAATCGTTATTGTGTCAATGTTTGGATTTGTGAGTATACTTATCTACAATATTGAACAAATTGAAAGTGAAACGAAGAATCTCTCTCAATTTAAGTGTAATATGAAGGGTGAATATCTCATCTGCCTTTAAAATGGCACAGCAAACGCTCATGTCTCTGGATTAATTGTTTAAAATATTCGTGACTTCAAAATGGAAGTGTCTGTTTTATTAGAATTCTAAGAAATATTATCTTTGCTATTGTAAAGAGTACCTTACAACAACTACTACTACTCTGTCAAGAAAGTACCGGGAAAAGATCAATAATGTACAAAATGTTTGTTATTCATCAAAATTTATTTTATCACCTTCAAAGTATGGTCCTTCAGAAACGATACACTTACGCCAACGAATAATCCAATCATCAAAACATTTTTTAAACGCTGTTTCCGGAATTGAGTTCAGTTCTCGCCGCGAATTCTCCTTTATGTCTTCTACCGATTGAAATCGTCGAATTTGCTTTCTTAAATGCCGCATAACGTTCAAATGACATTTTTTATTTACCGTTTAACCTTTCGGAAAGAATTTCAAGTGCACAACACCGCGATAGTCAAAGAAAACAGTCAACATGACTTTGACTTTTGATCGACTTTGGCGTGGTTTTTGCGGTTTCGGTTCAGTTGGAAGGTGCCACTCCGAAGCTTGTTGACTAGTTTGCATGTCAAACTCGTAAGCCCACGTCTCGTCATCAGTAACAATGCGTTTCATGAATGTTGGGTCAGAATTGATTCGTTCTAGTACGTCCTCAGCGACTCTCATGCGATTGAGTTTTTGGAGAAAATTCAGGTCTTTTGGGACTAGCCGAGCGGTAACATGTTTCATTCCCAAATGATTAGTTAAAATGGTATGGATCAACTCGCGAGATACAGAAAGTTCGGCGGCTATCTCTCTCAAAACTGAATAAGAATTTTCAGTCACTATTTCCTTCACTTTTGCGATGTTAACTTCAGTTGCAGACGTTGATTTCCTAACAGAGCGAGGCAAATCTTCCATTACATCTCGACTTTGTACCACTCATAAGCACGTGTTTTTGATAAAGTCGATTCAAGCCTTCTGTAACATTTTCAGTGACTCCGAACACGAAATTCTATTGCTTCAAACCACACATTTATTTCACTTTGCCCTAATTATTTATTGATTAACATTTTATAAACCATTTTTATTATAGTTGTACTTTTTAATAACATTAATGATGTAAAAAGTGGTGGCTTGGCTAATTTATTTCTTTTAATTTCAGAGTATGCAACAGGGAGCAGGAGGAGGTAATTATACTGTTTTCTAAAAATTAAATATAAAGAAAATTTAAGATCATAATCACACTTTACCGATTAATATTAAGTGCGTTCTATAAAAAAATATCCTTAAAGCTTTTATGTACTAACTACCAATTGATTGACTGGAGCAATTATCAGTTCTTATTTAGACAACAAATTTTAACATCTTAGTATTTAAATGTAATGCTTGAAATATTTAATTAGTATTTAAAAATTATTGTATTTTCAGGGGCAAACGCTGGAGCCGGATTTAGTGTTGGCGCAGGAGCTGGCGGTGGAGCTAATGGCGGCAGCAATGGTAAGTTAAATGTATAAGGTATGAGATTCACCCGTGTTTCTGTTCATGGCCTTTTCAATCAATCTACCTTAGGTTCTTTTATAGGGTATTAACTTTGATATCTAGTCTGATTTTAAACATTAGAATTAAACCTTTCAGGAGTCATCATTTTTGGAGCCTTTTCCCTAAGTGGAGTCAGCTTTCAGTCTAATACGATATGGCTGAACTTCGATTTTTTACACTCCACAATCCAAATGATAGGCAATATCGAAATTCTGCAGATATTGTTGTCGGATTTCTTAGGGCTCCAACTACCCGTAGCGATTGCCATTTGTATAGAAACTGAGACCTTAACGGGCTCTCCGAGGTACGGAGAGGTCTCAATGGTCGCCCATCCATAGACTGACCTGGCTAGTATTGCTTAACTTTGCAATGTGCTAACCTACTAGTTATTAGTGTGCTTTTAAGACTTAGCTATGAGACCCTTTATATGTAGCCTATGAGGAAACTCAGCAGTAAACCCTTATTTTAAGAAAAGGCCACCATCAGATCTGAACTTAAATATTTATTTATATACACGGTGATTTTGAAAGCGTTTTGGAAAAGAAAATTTTGAATTATTTATCAGTAACAGAAGCTATATATAACGTTAATTTAATAAAATATATGGTGGATAGGTCGAGGAGGGCCAGTGGCTTGGCCACCTAGAAGCCCGGACTTAACGCCCCTGGATTTTTTCTTATGGTCGGAAATAAAAAGACTTGTTTATACACGGGAATATGAAAGCCGTGATAATTTACACAGCGGTGCGCAGCGGCCGCCGAAACGCCCACGGACGTGTTTCATTCATATAAGATAATGAATGAATGATCAGTCCATTACTACTTTCCAAGTCGATCGAGTAAAAATTAATATTAAAACTGAAACTTTTTTTTAGACGACATTACAAATGATTTAATCATTTTTATTGGTTCTATAGATGATTCTAAATTAAAATGTTTCGTTTCCAAAACGCCTATAAAATCACCGTGTATAACAAGGTAAATTGTTTATGAATTAAAATAAATACATCTCCGAAATACAGTTGTGGGTTAAACCGGTGGGTTTATGTTTAATAAATTTGTTGTTAAGTAGCCTGCGACTCTCTTCAAGAATAGAATTTTCAAATTAAATTGACTACGGAGAACAGTGTGTTTAACCAATTAAACAAACTCTATGGCTTTGATACAATATTAACTTAAGATGGATACTTATGATTCAGTTATAACCATAGAATGAATGAACAAGAGATCCAAATCTTGCAATACAGGCAATGAGAGAGATATGGATAATAGATAGATGCCTCTATGTCTTTCTAGCCGGGCTATGTGGTTGCCTAGGGAATATAAGGGATTAATAAGTAGCCAATCGCAGCTTAGCTAACAAGAAACGGAGGAAGCTATCGAGTATCCATCTCATCAACCTCTATCGTTGCCTGTATCGCTTCCACTTACAGGCAACTGTACCTCGTGTTCTCTCTATGCTTATATCTCTATGGTTTTAACTAGTTTACATTTTTTTACGTTTTATCAGGAGGTGCTGCCGGTAATGGCGGCGCCCAAGGGGGTTTCGGCATGAGCGCAAATGCAGGAATGGGAGGACAAGCTGCAGGATCGGGAAAATAAGGTAGAAGTTCTTGAATATGCCATACCATGCATTTTAATGCACCCAGGTGGTCATATATATATTTTTTTACATTTATCTTGAGCCAAGCCTAGTTAGGTCTGTGATACCAAGCTTTACTAGTACTCATATATATGACTGAAGAATGAATGAATGAATGAAGGGACTGATAAATCTAAAATTTCTGTATGCGAGATGGCTGTCTTGAATGAATTTATGGATATTTAACTTATTTTTTTTTAACTGCTTTTCTGCAAAAGTTTGCGTAAAAACCCCAGCGAATACAAGCGTAAAAACCAACTTCATTAATATTACCCCAAAAATTAATTCAAATATAACTTCATAATGAGCCTGAGTAAAATCAAAATTATAATTAAATTCATGGTGATGTGCTTGAGGACATTGTTTGTATATGTCTGCTGCACAGATGTTCGTAAACAAAGAGATTTTACACTATAAATATATTAAAGATAAATAATGTTGTATTTATCCAAAACTTTGAATTAATAGTTTTGAAATTTTAAGAATACATTTTCATGCAGTTGAGGTTTAATTTTTTTTTCAATAAGTAGCTTATTTATCTTCATTTTTTTTAACTTAATTTTTTTTAACTTTGAATACTTTTTTTTTTTAAACTGTTTTTTTGCAAAAGTTTGCGTAAAAACCCCAGCGAATACAAGCGTAAAAACCAACTTCATTAATATTACCCCAAAAATTAATTCAAATATAACTTCATAATGAGCCTGAGTAAAATCAAAATTATAATTAAATTCATGGTGATGTGCTTGAAGACATTGCATTTTAGTAAAAAAATCTAACCTAGTAAAGCCTATATTTTTTGTTACAGATAGTGCAGTACTTGTCATAAATGGATTTGTTTATTTTCAATATTCATAACTATATAACACTAATAAAAATAGCACATCAAAAGAGATGTTTTATTAAGTTCCTATTTGCCTAAACAATTTTATTGAGACTTGGTAACTATAGTAACTTCAGTTAGACGGTATAGACGATTTGACTGCCTTGGTGGCACTGTGGTAGCATATGCGACTGCTGTTCTAAAGTCTCGGGTTCGATTCAAAGGACCAAATGTTTGTATGCTCTGCAAATATCTGTTTCGGATTTTGGGTGTTTTCTATCTATATGTATCCTATCAGTCAATTTAGCTTTAAATAGTACAAAGCTCTGCTTGGTTTGAAAATAGATGGCGTTGTTTGTTAGATGTCCGAAATATAATTATATTATATTTGGTGTGATGTTTTTCTGACCACTTCAGTTGTATAAAATCAATTTAAAGAAAAGATAAATTTTCGTAACCAACCATAGTAAGACTATTTTTTTTATGTCCAAAAAATGTGTATGCCCCAATCAGCTTTTAGAATATAAAAAGGTGGTTTATGTTATTTTCAAAGTACCAACATTTTACAAAAATATAATATGTTTTATATTCCATAATAGGCTTGCCCCTATTAGGTAAGTAGGACTTAAATTATAGTTAGGAAAACGTCAGTGTTTAATATTCATTTCTCTAGCATATAAAGCAGTACAAATTCTCATAGTGGCCCAAGTATAATGACAATGTTAGTCAACTCTATTTGCAAAGCATTTTTGGTGTTAGATTCATCTTAATTGTAGGACACTGACAGCCTTACTAATAAACTTTTACACACGACTTATACCTGGGTTATCACAAAAACATTGCCAATAAAACAATATTTTATGTTTTATTTGTATATGTCTGCTGTACAGATGTTCGTAAACAAAGAGATTTTACACTATAAATATATTAAAGATAAATAATGTTGTATTTATCCAAAACTTTGAATTAAAAGTTTTGAAATTTTAAGAATACATTTTCATGCAGTTGAGTTTTTATTTTTTTCAATAAGTAGCTTATTTATCTTAATATTTATTACTTACGGTCACCATTTCTAATTCTGGAGAGAGGCTCCTCAAACTGTGCATTTGTTAAACACTTTAGTACTTTCAGGAAATATGGCAGTAGTTTTTCTTGGTGCTGAAAGCCACTTTGCAAGAAGTATAGTCCGAGTGCTATGGACGCTTCTTGGCTGCGTGGATTTACAACAAATGAACTGCTGGCTTGAGGGCACAGCATGAACAGTGTATTCACCTGAAATACAATGCAATAAAATAAATAATTAAAACAATTTATTCTAGTAGATACTGTTTATTTGATAGGATTAAACTCTTGTATTTTGTAAAGATGGGATAATAAGGTACTGTTTATACAAAAATGTAAGTCTTTTATATCATCATCATCAATAGTCCACTGCTGGACATAGGCCTCTCCTTAGAAAGGAGGTTATATATCAGTTAGAATATATTCAGTACATTCTCTCATTATACTTTTAAATAAAAAAAATACTTAAAAAATTAAACATGTATTTATTTAAATTTCAAATGATTACAGTTAAAAATCTTTTTTTCTCATGGTAAATTAAGTGATGGTGAAAAGTTCACCTTTATTTAAATATTATTAAATAAGGAGAATATGTAATTAAAACTATTATTTAAACCTTCCTATTAATTTTATTAATATTTTGTCATATGTAATTTTTAGTGCCATCATTGTGTATGTAATTTTAAAAAGTATTTCTAGTAATTCTAACACATTAAATTACATGAATAAAGTAATCGTAATAGCCTGCGATAGGCTTATTACGATTACTAAAGATAATTAAAATAATTAGATTTTATATACAAAATAAACAAATAATGTACAATCTCCATTTGAGATAATGTTTAATAACATAATATTTATGAGATTGTAGCAACTAGTAATTATTCACAGATGAATCACCGCCCTTTTTGTTTCGTTTCCCAGCCATGATAACATGCAGTCTCTTAAAAGTGAGGTCATACGATTGTTTTCAATTTTAAACAAATAGATAAACAATCTTAGATATACACAATTTCACTCATTAGATATTCATAACAAACTCTCGTAACTTTAATTTAATACTAAAAACTTCACTAAAGAGACGATTATTCATGAAACAATTCCTACAGTTTCAAATTTTACAAGATTACAAAATACGTGTCGTAATTTTACCTTCTCCCATGGTGTCGGGTTTAAACTAGACAAACATCGCGCTAAATGCTGCACTGTTTCCCTGAAGAACTCGTTTTCGTCCATAGCTTTATTTATAGTACATTTGTAAACATTTTATTTTAATTTTATTACAATATTACGACCGACACTGCTCTCAGCCGATTGTACTTTGACAGATTGTCAATATATGTTACGTTTCATTACACTGACTTTAGATGCGTTCCGTTTCTTCCTTTTAAATCACGTCTATATTTAGACCTTTCATCTATTATACTTCTACCACGGTGGGTGCGATATTAGTTGTTGTTAAGGTGTGTTTTCACTGATGAGGAGCTGGGTGGAGTGGAAAGGATCGATCTGTGAATTAGTCAAACACAGTTCTTGAAATCTCCACTCCGCATGAGTGGAAACAGTGTAAATGCAACGGAGCGAAGCTGACTTTCATTTAAAATATTTAAACATGAGGCTCTGAGCTGAGGGCCAAGTGCGAGTTTATTTTACATCAACTCGCTCGTCACGGAGACCACGTTCAGCGTTGCGATTGACCCGCACTGAAATCTCCACCAATCGCAACGCGAAACGCGAGAGTAAAGCTAGTAAATGTATAATAACCTGAAAACTAGGCCCACTAGACAGAACGGAGTCGGCTGTGATGCCGAGCGGAGGACACAAAGTCACTCTCGACCAGCTCCGCGTCAGTGGAAACGCACCCTTACTTAGATTCACAGGATGACTTTGATAAAAACTTTTTTCTACTCAAACTCAAATTTTGAAACTCAAACTGTGCGAAATTTATTAATATTGATTAACTCACAATTTACAGTTTTAAGTACCTACCACATACTCACTCAAATATATAAATCACTTTATCGACATTTCTTGGCAGTCATAATTAATCATAAATCATGGTAATACGTAAATATTTAATTCATTACTTTACCCTTTTTTTCCGTGCGGAAATCCCCTCGGATACCACCTATCGGTGGCATGTCGGACTCGAACCGACTAAAACCGCACGCCGCCTCGGGTACTAATAGCCGGGGAACCAGTCATTACTTTACCCTTAAATCAAAGTTTAATTTTAAATTTAAATAAAAAGTAGGTAATTTAAATAAAACGCGGCATTATGGTCAAGTAAACTTTTGTATGTTTTTTTATTGTATCTGCAAAGTTTAACTATTCTGTATTCAGAAGAACATTATGAAGAAAGAACTTGAATTTAGAAAGAACTTTCGCGCCAACTAAAGACAAAATAAACGAAACCCAATTGGATAAAAAGCTGTCAAAATTTTACGATTACGACACATTTACTGATTGTGATTGGTGGAGATTTCAGCGCGGGCAAATCGTAGCGCCGAACGCGGTCACCGTGACGATCGAGTAGAAGTGAAATAAACTCGCACTAGGCCCTCTGATTGGTGTTTCCAACCACGTGACTTATACCAAACTGCCCACTGTGTAGTTATTCATTATTTTATATAATGTAAAATAATAACCTATATAGTATTATTGTGGTATATTTGTATTTTTATAATTATTCTTATTTAATTATCTGCGATTGATGTTAAATAAACGGAGTGTTATAAATGTAAAACTCAATTGAAGTATGCTAATAAGAAATCGAAAAAAATTTAGCCCACGCCACAGCGCTATGAATCGAAGGAAAATCACTACAAGACACACAGCAAATAGCGTTGCCCCAAATCGTTCTTGGTTCGATCGGTTTTGTTACCGCAAGCCCCAAGCAAGAACAAGACGACCTAATTCTAGCAAGACCAAGACCAAGACTGACCCATGCAAGACTCTTGTGTCTTGTAGATAATTCAAATTGAGATCGTGTTTATAATTACTTATTTGAAAACAGACTGTGCGACAATAGTAAGTTTCGTTTGTTTAACTACGTTTAAAGGAGCACCGCCCTTTTCACACCGAAAGACGACTGCGCGGCGGACTTCAAATTGGGCATGCGCACGATCTTTACATCGTATAAAATAAAGTCACTTCCCGTTCCTGTACGATCTTTCAAACTACGCAATGCGGTTTAATCAATAGAGAGAATAATTCAAAAGGAAGGTTCAAGGCGAACACAAAACTTTGCGAGACATGCGCTGAATTTGCGTCGCGTAAAAATAAAGTCAGCGCATGCTCAGAAGGCTAATTCTCGTAATAAAAACGGGTCACAATTTAGTTCCAATCTACTCTCGATCACAAAAGGTATTTTCGTAATATAGTATATTGTGATTCGATATATCGTATTGTGGCCGAAAGTTGAATCGGTAATCTGCTAGTCTCCATAATTATTATGACATTAGACAAAAGATTATTGTTAAAAAACTGAAAAAAAACTTTTAGAAATCAAGATATTTTAATTGTTTTTTTTTTTTTGTAGTAATAATAACTTTACACATCTCACACATGGCCGTTTGATTACTAACTAGGCTCAGCCTGTGCTATGGTAACCGGACTGCTGATAAACATACTTATATATTTCTAAATATATAAGTCTTAATTGAAAGCCAGAAAGACTAACTAGCAATAAAAAAGTACGATATAAGGCAGAAAAAGTTTTTGATCTGTAACTTCAAAACTAGCAATTTAAGGGGTACCTTAAGTTGCTAGTTTTGAAGTTGCATGCATGTTTTATTAAATGTTATGATTTACTCTATATATATATATATATATTTATACGAGTACCTATATATCACAATGGTTCTACCTCTTTTCATTGTTATAATATTCACCGCCAAAGAAATATACATCGAAAGAGAAGGATACATTAAGGCAAAAACGAGTGCGTAAGAGTGAATTATCGTTTAAAGGCCATTTGGGTCTCGGTTCTCCCAGGCATTTTTTTAAAGGAACAGCTATTCATCTTGCGTTCGCTAACTTGCACATTGATGATATGATGATTGATACCTCACAATTTTTTTCTTTTCGTCCTTATGCCTTCTACAAACTTATCTGCTTGCAAAGTAGCTAACATTAATTATGTTTATGGGTTTTGCGATGGCGATACTCGCGCTGCCGCTCGAGGTTATCATCAACAATTCTCGACGAGACCTGCCATTGACTATAGAATTTTCAGAGCAAGTGCATCGAGAGTTAAATGGGAATGGACGGACTGCGACGCCCACGGCGTGAACGTGCTCCCGATGTACCGGTAGATGTGGAGGAACAAGTGTTGTGGTTGGGGTAACGAGACCCCACAACTAGAAATAAATAAAAAAAAGTAAAGCCTGACCTAACCTAATTAAACAAAACTGCAAAATCATGTTCTGTTTTGTTTTATTGTATAATGAATGAATGATGAAATTATTACTACTTACCTAGTGGTTACTTTACTACACTTTGATGAGTAAATTTCACTTTTTGTCATCTTCCATAAACTTCAAAGTCCACTTGAATTTGACGATAAACTGGGGCTACTAGTTTGGACTATTGGTTTTGGCTGTTAAGTACATATTTTAAGCTGTATCCCCCTTTTTTTTTTTGTGCGGAAATCCCCTCAAATACCACCGGTATCGGTGGCATGTCGGACACGAACCGACTAAAACCGCACGCCGTCTCGGGTACTAATAGCCGGGGAACCAGGTATACCCTAGAAAGGAAGTACCTGGTGCAACTGATTCCCCCTTGTAATAGCTGCGATGAACCTACACAATTAATCTAGTATAGACTCAGTCTTTTCATACAATGTACCTACTAGTCCTAATCCTAAGTCTTATAAGTCCTGTACAATTAAGGAATGCTATTGTGTGCTTGTTTGTTTGAGTAATATAAAACAGTTTTGTTATGTCATATCGTAATCACAATAACTAGTTGCTATTGTTAGTTTTCGTTTATGTCGACCCCTGGGAAACAGATTTCGAGCCTAAGGTTCGATATATACCACTTTGGGAATCCCTGTGGTAAACCAACAGGACCATTAGCCATTATTTATTTATTGATTTATACATCATGCACTTTTGGTGCATTGGCGGACTTAATATTGTAGTTATAATATCAAATACACGTACATAAACCTATCATACACTCTAGTGTATGATAGGTTTATGTAGGTACGTATGACAGAAACCTTCGGTCCTCTAACAACCTTCTTCTTCGTTGTCCCCCCCTCCACACGACTGAGTTTGTTGGCTCATGCTTTATTGTGCAGTCCATTCTTCTCTTTAATGACCTTCCTCTCGAGGTCAGGATGGCCACCAACACTTTCTGATTCAAAACTAAAGCATTATTTCTTTTGTAATTTAGTTCTAACCCATACACATAATACATACGTACATACATATACTTAAATACATATAAACTTACATAAATACGTACATACCTAAATAAATACTATTAATAATAGTAGATGACAATTATACGTCAGTTGATTTTGCCAGTTGTTTTGGAAAATACTGCTTCACTTTAATTTGAATGAGAAAGTGCCACGTCTATGGCCATCGGAATATCCTCAACCTTGCTCTGCGAATAGAGTTGAAGGTCATCAGCATACAGATACAGATGATACGCACAATGAAGTTCTATTGTTAGGAGGTTAATATACACAGAAAATAATAAAAGGGATTACCACTTTGAGGGACACCAGAGTCGAGAACCACCAGCTCGAAGAAGATTCATCGACGCGAACAGACTGCTGGCGTCCCTAAAGATAAGATGAGAACCATTACAGTGCTTCAGGCGAGACCACAAGATAGGAAAGGATCGATAAGAGGATATCGTGATTGACGGTATGGAAGGCATTATGTTAGACTGTACAAATACTAACAACATAGGTATCAACTTCCAGCGAACTCTATGAAGTAGGTAGGTCCATTAATTATTGTAGAATAATTGCATCAAAAGAGGAACCATTATAATTATCATGTATTGTACACAATTTTATTTAAGTTACTACATTATACTGTCACTTAAGCACACAATAACTGGTACCACTTCTGCTTGGTTTATTGTAATACTTGCGAGACACTTGCAGCAGAGCAAGACTTGGAGCGCAATACTAAGACTGGCTTAAATTGTGTCTTGGTCTTGCGTTTGGGCAAAACTAACAGCAATGGATGTTCTGAGCGTTTAGGCTTAAATTATCCCTAAGTTTCAAATAGCTCCTTGCCCGAAATATCCTCTCTGCATAATGTCCCGTTCTTAAAACGCTTCCTTTTCAACATGCATTTCTTTTACGTTATTTATAAACAATAGGTGTATAATAGTGTCTGCGATAGTCTGCATACTATTATTATACATACCTACATACTATATATGGGTTCTGGCAATCATTAGTGGTCACATGATGAAGTCCGTTCACATGAAGCGTATCGACTTAAAATATAAGTTAAGTGCTTCGCTGTAAATTAGCTAAAGATTGCTGTAATTTGTAAAAAAAAAAACAAAATCATTCAGACATCAATTCAATTTAATTGTTTTTATTTAGTATTTCGTAACATGAATTAAACGGCGCTACTTTCTACGGTAGAACACTGATTCTATTCTTATAATTATGTAATGATAATATACGTTTTAAATATTATTAATAGAAAAAAGTCAAAACTTCATAAAATAATAATAAGGGAACGACGTAACAGGAGTTGGGAGTTTAACTTGGATTAAAAAAGTTTAGAAAAGTATAAATTCTGAGAATCCAAGGCATGGCTTACCAACATAACGAGCAACCTAAAAAGGGCAATTACTTTCAACAGTTGAATTAAACTAATCTTGTGAAGGTGTAAATATGAGTGGATCAAAAACATGGATAATTTACCTGAGGAAGGAGTTTCATGATGAAAACACTGCTATAAATATTTTGCAGTAAGGTGGGGGTGTAATAGAATGCTTAAGTGTTAATAAATATTATCAATTAGCATACGACTGATTAAATATTATAGTTGTACGTGATTAACATATCTATATACCAACATTGAGTAGACACAGAAAATGACGAATATACCATATTAACTGCTTACACATTGAGAATATTATAAACTTGCAGAGACTTGCAGGGTATTGCCCCTTCAGGCGCTGCGCAGACGACGGGGCGAGGCAGTGTTTTAATAGCAATAAAATCACGTCTATTCGTGTCTGACCACGGGTACTGGCAGCACAGTCTTTTTGACCGTTGTGTGCGTTGACAGTATAAGATTCCCTTTGTTGTAAAGTTCAAAGCGAAATTGTCTAACCCACCCCTCCCTGCGTATGCACAGCGCCTTTACAAGTATACATTTAAGAATACCGAATACTCCTGCCCACAACTGCATTATGTATTGTTAGAATCGCACAAACAATACTCAATATAGTGGCAGTTCGTGAGATACTACTAAAAACGTTTCGCTATTCGTGCAAAATAACTTACGTTGTTCTATTACAGATAGACATTTGAAACATCCTACGCTCTACATTGAATGTGTAGAGCGTAGGATGTTTCAAATGTCAATAATAAGGGAACGACGTAATAGGAGTTGGGAGGTTAACTTGGATTAAAAAAGTATAGAAAAGTATAAATTCTGAGAATCCAAGGCATGGCTTACCAACATAACAAGCAACCTAAAAAGGGCAATAACTTTCAACAGTTGAATTAAACTAATCTTGTGAAGGTGTAAATATGAGTGGATCAAAAACATGGATAATTTATCTGAGGAATGAGTTTCATGATGAAAACACTGCTATAAATATTTTGTAGTAAGGTGGGGGTGTAATAGAATGCTTAAGTGTTAATAAATATTATCAATTAGCATACGACTGATTAAATATTATAGTTGTACGTGATTAACATATCTATATACTAACATTGAGTAGACACAGAAAATGACGAATATACCATATTAACTGCTTACACATTGAGAATATTATAAACTTGCAGGGTATTGCCCCTTCAGGAGCTGCGCAGACGACGGGGCGAAGCAGTGTTTTAATAGCAATAAAATCACGTCTATTCGTGTCTGACCACGGGTACTGGCAGCACGTGCGGTGCGTTGACAGTATAAGATTCCCTTTGTTGTAAAGTTCAAAGCAAAATTGTTTAACCCACCCCTCCCTTCGTATGCACAGCGCCTTACAAGTATACATTTAAGAATACCAAATACTCCTGCCCACAACTGCATTATGTATTGTTAGAATCGCACAAACAATACTCAATATAGTGGCAGTTCGTGAGATACTACTAAAAACGTTTCGCTATTCGTGCAAAATAACTTATGTTGTTCTATTACAGATAGACATTTAAAACATCCTACGCTCTACACATTCAAAGTATAACCTAACACTTGTTTATTAAAACGACACTGTACGTTTAGTTATGTAGCAACAAATGTGAATCGTAGTACATAATTCATAATGATCAATTCCAACCATCAGGTTTTTGGTACTATAGCTTTTTATTGATATATTGAAATTGAAATACCCACATGTATCGAAAGCCCTACAGAATTTCCAAACTTGAAATAACGATCTGTTTACTGTTTATTTTGGTTATCGGTACCCTATCCCTTACAAATCAATGGAACCAAGCGAGTAATTATTATAGGTACTTAATCTTAAACACATAATCTATACGTGACTTAACTTATCGAAATATGAAACAATAAAAACAAACACGGTGTTAGTCAATTTAAAGTCATTAAACTGTTACAAAGCAATAAAATAATCAAAAATATTATCAGTTCCCTAGAGCTTACGATCAAATATATATGCAACAGTCTTGTAGTAATTGATTTGAGCCTAATTTACTGGCAGGCCTGTTTAAGAGGTCATTCAAATCTACAAGAGTCCTACAAGAGATATAACTAAAAACTACACCGTAAACTTTTTGTCTGAGTTTAATAAAAATTAAGAATGTTGTAGAGTGGTATTAATCTACTGCGGTGATGGTTCCATCGCATTAATTAGAAGTTTCGTCATGAGTTGAAGATTTACGTTGTTGCCGAGCAGATTCTGAAAAACACCATTACACTTTAAGTATTCAATAATACAAGTTATTTAGGCGACTGTTATATTCCAACAAAAAATATACCACGAAAATATATACACGACCATTATTTAATAGGGCAGTATTGTGACTGGAAACTTTGTGGTGTCGGTTGGCCCGAACTCGACATAAAACTTTAACAGTAATCTCAGTGAGGGTTTGAAAAAGTGTTATGATAATAAGAATCAGTATTTAATCATTCAAAATAATAAAACATAATTGTTATGTCGGATACAGGATATCCTCGATGTAGGACAGTGAAGTATCCAGTCGCCAAATATCCGGCTAGACATTCTCGACAACTTATGCTCTGCGTCGAAGTAATGTCTCGTACTTCAAATCCTAGTGTGTTGATTGCAAGATTCAAGACAAACTATAGAGCTTGGGCTATAAGGGCTCGACAAACGATTCTATTGTAATTCATAAAAATCTTGCCACTAGTCCTCCCGTATCTTCAGTACAGTAAAACTCTCTGATGAATATTCAAGGGTTTTAACGTTAGTAACATTAGGGCGAATTGCCGCATGATCGGTTTTGCGCGAGCCAAGTTATTCAGTATGATGAGCGTCAAAGTCGCCAAGTATTACGATCTCTGCACATGATATCTGTTGCTTTTGGCCATATGTCACCACTGTGGGACCTGTAGAGGCTCACATAGAAGCGGGGATGATCAAAGGAGTATTTCAGATGACCAGGGTAGCAGAGGTACAATGCATTTGTTGCAGATGATATCTGCGCTCGGATAAAGAGACGAAGGCCGGTCTCGAGGTCGGTCGGCAGTCTCGAGGTGGTGGTTTGAGTGTAAGAGAAATTCATGGCGAGCATAAGGGGTGGTATACATGTTTAAATGGATTTATATAGGACTTTTCAATACGTATTACAATTTCCTTAATTATTTATGTATGTAAATACCTTCATGGTTTCTTCTTCCGTCACGGCTGTAGCTCGGGTATTATTACCGAAAAATAAATTTATCTGCTCAATAATATTCTGAAATGACAAGAAATCAATATTTCTACAATAAAGAAATCTCAGTTTCATGCTGTATGAAAGTTTTTGATGTAAAAATCTAATGCGGATTGTCAGACCAGCTGTTGGCGAGACGCTATGTTTGTAAAAAACTTTTTAATTGTGCTATATTTATTATTTCTTTTCATAAGATATTCATTATTTATCTATTATTCATTATTTATCTATTATTCATTATTTCTACAAAATAATTTCTATGTTTCACATCTGTCAGGCGTTCCACGGCGGCTCCTTTTTTAAATTATAGACAAAATATGGGACATTACTAAATTTGTCTGTAACACCGACAAATTGAAATTTCTAGTGACAATTAAGTAAATAGCAAGTTGCTAAACAACAGATATAAGTTACTTTTCGTTACACGCTTACCTTGTCTTTGTCTTCTAGCCCTGCAGTCATAGTGGAAAGACCAGGCGCTGAAGCGGTAGTATTGGAATGCTGTAAATAAGATCTCACCCAATTATTTACTAGAATAAACATTGTTCATTTAATTAAATATGATTAATACACAGTCATATCATAACATAACACTTAAATTACTTGCTGATAATTTTTAAAATAAAATCTACATAAAATAAACATTTCAGAAAGGTAACAAAACTAAAACTAATAAATGATATGTTAGTGATGAAAAGTGTAGTAATGGAATGAATTAGACAATTGTGCCAAAAGATACGAAAGTTTATCATTATTACTTCAGATTTTCTGATATGATTTGAAAACACTAACACGAAAAACTGAAAACGATAATTTAGGGGAGCCCCTAAATTATCGTTTTCAAGTCAACAGATCATGGTGAACTAAAGCTGTTGGTTAGTTATTATAATGCACGTAATTATATTTCGACAGGAACTGTCTAAGCTGAAAGAGTTTCGTTAAAAAGGTACGAACGAATATATAATGTTATAAATAAACAAATATATTGTGTATGTCAAACTAGATATTAGGAATGTTATGATTTATTATATTATTATTTACACATATTATTAAAATGTTAATTTCAGTCGTCAGCGGGTTAATGCTTGAAACTAATATTACCGGTTTGAACAACGTCACAAGTACGGTGCATAGACGCTGATTTTTGGAATTGATTTGCGCCAACTTCTTGTTGATGTCTTCAGTAGCACTAATCATGTTCTCAACCTTATTTTTGTGATATTGGTATCTGTAAAACATACATATAAGCCAATTACGAATACAATATTTTATATATTATGACCAAAAACCACCACCAGAATTTTGCCCACATTTGCCAATTGCCGTCTTTTACGTTAATGCCTCTCTTTGTTACAAGGGGCCTCACCCGAGCCGCCAGGGTAAGGTCGGAAGGCTTAAAATTAATGAAAACCTTTATAATGCGAATAAGCGTACAATGCACCTACTGACATCATTGTGACAAAATTGTGACAGTGTTAGGATATTAAAATATTTAAAATTTGAATAAATAACTACGATATAGAACATTATTCTATAAATATATGAATATATTATATGGATAAATATGTTTACCTAGGTAAATTCAACGCGGATGAACGCGTTTGCAGAAGTAGGTAATAAATTGCGAAATACTTTCCATACAATTGCACCTAATAATTTTTTCTAAAGATTTTGGAGTTTGTATAAATATTTCCAAACATAGTAGCGCTCAAAAGTATTTTCAGAAAGTGTAACTTATTAAACACTACAAGAATAAAAACAATATTGGCATTTATGGATTAGGACATTAACCGATAATCTGATGTAAAATTCGAAACTAAAACATCTAGTGAATTGTTAAAAGGAAATGTTCATTAAAGTTTTAATAAACACAGATCAAAGTATTTTGACATTTATAGAATAATGCCATAATGCCAAATTTTTTTACTACTGATTATTTTCAGTACTTAATATATTCATGATTGCTTGTTTTAATTTGTATCATGGAGCACAAGGTACAATTCGCTTTTAATTTTTAGTAATATGACGTAAAATAACAATGGCGAAAGCCGTATTTATTCACAAGCATGTAAAAGGAAGTTAATTACAAGTTCAGACCACTTCAAATACTAGTGTTAAAATACTTTTGAGCACTACTGTATATTTTATAAGATGGGCAATTTTTACTCAAGAACTATAGTCCATCTAATTTAAGAGGTACCGTTTGACGTTTCATACTCTTCAAGAAGAAACAACTTCGTATAGGCTTAACTCACACAATTTCAATAACCTGTTCCGTAAAACCATAGAAATTATAAAGCTATTTCTGTGTATCACAAAATGTACCATTGTTAATTACTAAATTTAAATCTTTGAATCAAAGCAAAATAACCAATATATACACAACAGATTTTTTTTAGACTTCGTTTCAAAGTCACGTAGTTAGGTCCTTTACCGTAGTTTTGCTGCTCTTCAAATTCACTTGCATACCAATAATCGTTAGTGTACAACCCTTCGAATTTATTAATAACGAGTCATTTTCAATCTAAGCCTTTTTTAAGTGTTTAATAATGCTTAAAATTATCTGGCATCCAACTATCAACAAAAACGCGTAATTAAAATCAAAAATATGTGAGTTAATTTAATTTTAAATAAATCCTTGTAGGCAAAATCGCTCGTGTCCAGGTCTAGTATATGCTAAGATTTACTAGTAAAACCTATCATATGCCATTACACGGGCTTTCACAGTAACATACATAAATCTATGACTGTAATCGATTAGTAGATACTAAGAAATGAAATCGATAAATCTTAAGAATAGGATATTGTAGTAATCGATTTCTTTGACCCATCCCTACTCTTCAATCTGTCAGAACTGTCAAACAGTACCTCTTAAATTTGATGGACTATAACAGAGATAACTTAGTTGTGATACGTTCCTTCTAGATTCGTCGTATATACTACCGTCATTGTTATATTCAAGGCCTTCACACACACTGGTTGGGGGACACTTGAATCTAACAACAATTAGCATTTGATTGTTTTATATTACGTAGGTAACGGATCACTCATTCGAATAAGTGTCTTTATAACCCCGCAATGTATGAGATAGTGGAGCATAAGAAATGCATGCCAATTTTTGCCACATCAATTAATGTAAATGCAAATTTTCAGCTTTCTGTTAGTATCAGTTAGGTAAGCCGCGGATCGACGGACGAACAGACGAAACTACAAGGTCCATTGTTAGAATTACGGAACCGTAACAAGTAATGGAATAACCACATACTTTGATTGGCTGTCCGTCCTTGGGCGCGGGCTTAATGGGAAAGTGAAATATATTTATTATATAAATTTCTTCAAATATTGTCATTAATTATAAGAGCCAACAATATCAATACATCGATGTATCGTATTTTTATTAAGTCAAAACGTGTTAGAGAAATGTACAGAAAAGAGAAGACCATTTAACGTTTTGGGTGAGCTGTTCATCGATCAAATTAATATCAGAAATCAAGTTTCCAATCATCATAATTTCCTCTAAAATATGACATAACTTTAACAGAATAAAATGATGATGAAATGAGCTTTTGCAGCAGCTGCTTTTTAATAGCCAGTCTTAGTTGCCAGAATTAAAGAACAATGATTTGTATCGATTCACAAATATATTTGATGGAGTTGATTTAAAAAATAACTATCATATTGTTAAACATCATGAATGGTTGTGAACAAAATGAAGTATTCTTTTCAAAACAGACGATTTAAAAAGCTTTGTTTTAATCAAATTTTAATTATTATCGAAACTTAAAACATTAAACGTGATTTTAAAGTTCAAATTCTATAACATATAACTGGCAACACTGAAGCTGCCAGTGTCACAGATTGTTTATATTTTCTTTGTGTTTTTCTTTATAAAGCACTTTAATAGCGCATCACCTTTATCATTTATCCTAGAAGTAAGATGTAATAATTATTTATAAAAAATTGGTACTCCAGGGATTTTAAATTAAATTTTTACTAAGGATATATCCCGGTATAAAGGACTTACCGAAACTCGTTGCTGTCACAATTTTTACATTTCTTTGTCAACGTATGTTCGTCGGTACAGATTTCGGCTTCTGAATAGTTGGCTGGAATTAAAATGTACCCGATAATATACAGTTTTCAGAATCAAGTACGCACACTTTGAACAGGTTTCTATACTTGGCGTCGAAATTCGCTAGCGCTTTGAAAAATAGATCTTAACATGAACTAAAATAGGTTCAGCAAGCTGATTTTAAAGCTACTTTACACAAACAAGGTCGTATTGATCAATCCGTAAAGTCAATCAGGAAAAACACTACGAAGTTAACGATGATTGAATATGTTCACGCCTATTCATTAACTTTATTAATTCATTAACGTAAAATTGGTTTTAACGTTCGATAACTTGACGACAAAGGAATTAATTATAATTTTATATATCCAGAAATAACAAGGATATAGCTACTAAATTTTAATACTTTTCAGTTTGTATAGTAGGCAAAAAATGTTTTAGAGTAAATTGTTTGCCATTAGCTTTTATACTTAGTTGGCACAAACAATGGAGATTATGATCAATCAGTTTACCGAAAGGTTCTTCCAAGTGTGCGCATTTATTTCTATAAAATACTGTACATACTTACTGCGAAATCCATTCGCCGAATGCAAATTAGGAATTGGAATTGTTCGCAAAACGCGTTAAAAAATTAAAGCCTTAAACTTTTACACCGACTTACTCTTTCTTACCTCCAATAACTGGTCGTACTGATAACTGGTATATTTGTAATTTATTTTACCTAAATCACATTCGCCATGCTTCGGATTATTACACAGAAGTCTGTGGTTTTTATTATTTTTTTTATTTTAAATGAGGAGCATCTCTTACCACGTTCGTTTAATCAATCAATGCAGTTTGAAAGAAGCACGACAGCTCCTGTACACCTAGTAATATATGATGGATGGTTATGAGATTTGTAGCGTTTATGAAGTATTTTCATGTTATTATCATATTTTTAGAACTCTGCTCAAAGTATATAAATTCTTCTTAAAAATTGTTACAACCGCAATAACTAAACGTGTAAGTGTTTTCAACAAAACACATTCCTTCGTTTTTCAAACTTGCTCTGCATAAAATATAAAAATTATAAAAAACGAAAGGTTTAAATCAATATCTGTGAATGAGTGTGTTTAGCAGTTAAAAACAAACATGTTTTTTATTACTAATGTTGGCTGTAGAGATTAGACAAAGTAGTAAAGGAATGAATTATTTAAATCAATTTATTTAAGGAAAAGCGACTAATAATTTTTGTCCAAATCGAATAAATTAATGGTAAACATTTTGTAAAAAAAAGTGGTTTAACTGATTTGACAGAGCAACACTTTATTGCCTAGTCAAGAAAATCATAAAAGAATGATTTTGATTATAAGACCTACCCTTAACTAGTTGACACCTAAGTTACTTACAGCAATGACAACTCATTTCTGACAGCCTTGTTGACAGCAATGATAACTTATTTGTGACAGTCTTGTTGACAGCAATGACAATTCATTTGTGTCAGCCAGCTGTCATTTGTATCGACTTCAGTACAATCTATACACGGTGATTTTGAAAGCGTTTTGGAAAAGAAAATTTTGAGTTATTTATCAGTAACAGAAGCTATATATAACTTTAATTTAATAAAATATATATATTTTTTATCATCAAAGTCGATATTCATATCGATTACAGAGAAAAGAAGAAACCAGTAGTAGGGCTTTTCAATCGCAAGTAGGTAAATACTACGAATAGAAATACTATGCGTTTTAATATCGAGTCACATAAAGGTCGCGCGCTCACGCGCAAGGTCAAGGACGTTTAAATTATTATTCGCCGGAGTGTAGTGCGTGCATACCTGGACAATGAGTTAAGTGATCGGTGGATAGGTCGAGGAGGGCCAGCAGTTGCTTCGATACAGAGAAGTGTAAATAGTGTAAATAGGTATGTAAGTTAATTATTCTGTAGAAAGCTCCGATTTTTTAAATACGCTTGAAATATTTATACCTACAGTCCGTTGATAAATTGATTTGTTAATAATCGAAAAGAAGTTTAAATAAAATAGGTATTTCCGACGATCCTAAGCCCGTGTAAAGTATGAAGGACAAATTGGAGTCTATCTACGTAAGTACTCGCTAGCTCGCGCCTATAGGTATACTTTTATCAGCTGCTGTTAGCGTCAGCGGTGCGCAGCGGCCGCCGAACCCCCCGACGTGTTTCATTCATATAAGATAATGAATGAATGATCAGTGCACTACTACTTTCCAAGTCGATCGAGTAAAAATTAATATTAAAACTGAAATTTTTTTTTAGACAACATTACAATTGATTTAATCATTTTTATTGGTACTATAGATGATTCCAAATTAAAATGTTTCGTTTCCAAAACGCTTTCAAAATCACCGTGTATATAAACTACAAACTGAGTAACTTTTATAGGCAAAGTTCTAAAAATCTGTTAATGAAAACTGTAAGTGTCGATGATATTACCAGCCTAATAATATATAAAATAAATACAGCAATAATCCCTACCATGAGATACGCAAGGCGGTACAAAAGTTCCATATATGGCTGCCATTTTCCTTTATGTACAATCGGAACAAAACTTGACCGGAACGTTGGTTAATTAACAGAATAGGGAACCTGTGTGACGGTACTTGGCGAAAAAATTGATTATTCCGTCTCATGGATTTGATGACAAAAGGCGTGTGCTGTTAACTGAAATTTAATAAAAACGTCAGGCAATTGAAAGGTAATAACTATTACGTGGTTGCATTGATTCCAAGACGTAGGTATACATAATTATGTATTACGGAAGGAGAAAGTTTAAGTGTTGTACTATATATCAGCTTACAAAGTAAACACGACACGTCACACATAATGCGCATATTTCCATACTAAGTGGAATTTCATTTAAATATTATGCACAGTTTTATTTATGATTTAATAGTACCTGTATTTAGAAGGAATATTCATATTTGACAAATATTGCATTCTTTTATTATGTTTGTGACGCATTGCCACGAGTATGATGTTTAACAAATAAATAATGTTTTTTGAAACATTTGTCATACTTTTATAAATTTAATTTGCCAATAGCACTTTGAATTTGCTAATTTGCATTAAAAAATTTAGTTTTATTTAAGCTATATTTCTTTATAGTCACCAGTGGCGTAGCTAGGCGTGGGCAAAGTGGGCCGTTGCCTACGGCCTCGTGAGCCTCCTTTAAATGTGATGCCTCCAGATGTTACCACAGATGAATTAATTTGATCACATTTACTCTCGAAGTGTGTTTGTTTCGGGCCTCCTCCTTCTCCCAAGAAGTCACATCTTAAGTGCGACTGCGAGGCCATTGAACTACCTTTGAAGACCGCGACCGTTAAATTTACAAAACACGAGAGACTTGTCAGGCATTAATAGCTATGAGCAGGAGCGGATCGTGAATTTTTAGGGCCCTGGTGGGACCAATTAGGGGCCTTCTTTAATGACGGGTATGCAAATCCCCTTGGATGTCCAGCGCTTTGAAAACGTAGGAGTTAGGAGTATGTAATGTCTCCTCTAAAACCCGCCGGACTTCCGGCCTCAGGCGTTCAACTCTGGGAGGACCTGACCCATGTGATTTCAGGTCTCTCCCGGATCAACGCCAGACCTAACTAGTTCCTATCCCGGATCAACACCGCACCTAACTAGGTCCCATCCCGGAAGAAGCCCCAGGCCTCCCCCTCCTTTTTTTCCAATCAGTACCTGTGTGTGAGGGCCCGGCTATGTTTTGATACAATTGCTGGCGGGGTAAAACTCAACATTCGATCTAGCGTTTAGAAACCCACGCGGGGTGTTTCTTTTGCCCATAGTGGTCAGAGGCCCAGACGACCACGCAGTGCCGGCATTGCCGTCTACTTAAGTTCGATCGAATGCAGGTACTCACCGAAGCAACCATGCCCGAGGAGTACGTGTATGAACTGGTAGATGACGCGACCTGCATCCCTACTTACCCACTCTTCGCAGTTTCGCAAAAGGGCACCATAAAACGCGTTGGCGGATATTTGGAGTTATCCAGCCGCGCGCCAGTCACAGTCCTGGCAGGACTGTCACTAGCTCAGAGGAGATTGTGCGGTATCCTCGTATGATCCGAATATTCGCGATCAGCTGCGCTTTTTTGGGTTGAGTTGAGCAGCAAGAGGAAGCCGATAGGCGCTTAACCTACATCGGCGCGCTACGTAGCAGGCTATGGATCGTATCACCGCACAGTATAGGCCGCGATTTTTCGTCCCGCGGATCACCTAGATTAGACAGCAGCCTCTGTAGCAAGCCCACCACCCCAAGAACTCGGGGAATTATCAGCTTAAATACTACGCGTAGCTCAAGAGTCCAGAGTGAGACCAAGATACTTGATGTTCCGTTTGACCTCGACCTCCGTTTACTCCACGCTAATGAGCGAGCGGATAAGAGCTGCATCTCAGGCCGCAACCGTAGGGCTAGAGCACTCATCTTTTGGACGACACAAGCTATCACCGACTCGGCCAGCTCCGAGTATTCCTCCGTGTAATAGACGACACTCATTACCAAGGGAAGATTAGTTCTCGGGACTGCATAATGCGCGAGGTTCGTGAGGAAGACGTCCTAGGACCACTGCCTGGGGACATAAAATAACGAAAGAAAAGGGGCCTCGTTGATGTGACTTCGCCCACGCCTAAGTTACTTTACGCTACGCCTCTGACAGTCAAACCTGCTCAACAACTCTAAATAAGTTTTGCTAGACAGAAATTTACAAAGAACCAAGAGTGGCATTATTGAAATAGCTATGAACTGGCTCATATCTAAGGATTTAGGAGTATTGACTTCATAACTCGGTTGCAAAATGGATGGTTGTATATTAACTAGATGAATGGAATAATAAAGCGTAAATAAGTAATACAGTACATCAAGTAGAATGTATATGTGTGTGTGTGTGTGAACATATGCTTATGGGTTAAGGTACTGCTAATTTTAATGTTTTAAACAAATATATATTTATTAACATATTTGAAGACAATCAAATCACCAATAATCCTATAGTGACCTACAGCATTAAAAATT